AGTAGTAGTAGTAGTAGTAGTAGTAGTAGTAGTAGTAGTAGTAGTAGTAGTAGTAGCAGTGTAGTAGCAGTAGTAGTAGTAGTAGTAGTAGTAGCAGTAGTAGTAGTAGCAGTAGTAGTAGTAGTAGTAGTAGTAGTAGCAGTAGTAGTAGTAGTAGTAGTAGTAGTAGTAGTAGTAGTAGTAGTAGTAGCTAGTAGTAGTAGTAGTAGTAGTAGTAGTAGTAGTAGTAGTAGTAATAGTTGTAGTAGTAGTAGTAGTAGTAGTAGTAGTTTAGTAAGTAGTAGTAGTAGTAAGTAGTAGCAGTAGTAGTAGTAGTAGTAACAGTAAGTAGTAGTAGCAGTAGTAGCAGTAGTAGTAGTAGTAGTAGAAGTAGTAGTAGTAGTAGTAGTAGTAGTAGTAGTAGTAGTAGTAGCAGTAGTAGTAGTAGTAGTAGTAGTAGTAGCAGTAGTAGTAGTAGCAGCAGTAGTAGTAATACTAGTAGTAGTAGTAGAAGTTGTAGTAGTAGTAGTAGTAGCAGTAGTAGTAGTAGCAGTAGTAGTAGTACTAGTAGTAGTAGTAGTAGTAGTAGTAGTAGTAGTAGTATAGTAGTAGTAGTAGTAGTAAGTAGTTAGTAGTAGTAGTAGCAGTAGTAGTAGTAGCGTAGTAGTAGTAGTAGTAGTAGTAGTAGTAGTAGCAGTAGTAGTAGTAGCAGTAGTAGTAGTAGTAGTAGTAGTAGTAGTAGTAGTAGTAGCAGTAGTAGTAGTAGTAGTAGTAGTAGTAGTAGTAGTAGTAGTAGTAGTAGTAGTAGTAGTAGTAGTAGTAGTAGTAGTAGAAGTTAGTAGTAGTAGTAGTAGTAGTAGTAGTAGTAGTAGTAGTAGTAGTAGTACCTGGGGGTAGTGTATGACTGTAGATCCTGCTGTGACTCTCTGGGTTCCTGATCTGTTTCTCTCGGTCGGTTTTCCAGAGAAGCTGCAGAATCTGTGAGTCTGATGCCAACGAAGCAACGCCTGAGCCTGAAGAAGAGCAAACATCTGATCATCTAAACATCTAAACATCTGAACATCTAAACATCTAAACATCTGAACATCTGAACATCTGATCATCTGAACATCTGAACATCTAAGCATCTGAACATCAAACATCTGAACATCTGGGGAACATCTATCTGAAACATCTGAACATCTGAACATCTGAACATCTGATCAACATCTGAAACATGAACATCTAAACATCTGAACATCTGAACTCTAACTCATCTGAACATCTGAACATCTAAACATCTGAACATCTGAACATCTAAACATCTGAACATCTGAACATCTGAACATCTGAACATCTAAACATCTGAACATCTGAACATCCTAAACACATCACCTAAAACATCTGAACATCTGAACATCTGAACATCTAAACATCTGAACATCTAAACATCTGAACATCTAAACATCTGAACATCTGAACATCTAAACATCTAAACATCTGAACATCTGAAACATCTAAACATCCTGACATCTGAACATCTAAACATCTGAACATCTGAACATCTAAACATCTGAACATCTGAACATCTAAACATCTGAACATCTAAACATCTGAACATCTGAACATCTAAACATCTGAACATCTGAACATCTAAACATCTAAACATCTAAACATCTGAACATCTAAACATCTGAACATCTAAACATCTGAACATCTGAACATCTAAACATCTGATCATCTAAACATCTAAACATCTGAACATCTAAACATCTGAACATCTAAACATCTAAACATCTGAACATCTGAACATCTGAACATCTAAACATCTAAACATCTAAACATCTGAACATCTAAACATCTAAACATCTAAACATCTAAACATCTGAACATCTGAACATCTGAACATCTAAACATCTGACATCTGAACATCACAAACATCTAAACATCTAAACATCTGAACATCTGAACATCTGAACATCTAACATCTAAACATCTAAACATCTGAACATCTAAACATCTGAACATCTAAACATCTAAACATCTGAACATCTGAACATCTGAACATCTAAACATCTGAACATCTAAACATCTGAACATCTGAAACATCTAAACATCTAAACATCTGAACATCTGAACATCTATCTGAACATCTAAACATCTGAACATCTAAACATCTAAACATCTGAACATCTGAACATCTAAACATCTAAACATCTGAACATCTAAACATCTGAACATCTGAACATCTAAACATCTGAACATCTAAACATCTAAACATCTGAACATCTAACATCTACATCTAAACATCTGAACATCTAAACATCTGAACATCTAAACATCTGAACATCTGAACATCTGAACATCTAAACATCTAAACATCTGAACATCTAAACATCTGAAACATCTAAACATCTAACATCTGAACATCTAAACATCTAAACATCTGAACATCTGAACATCTAAACATCTAAACATCTGAACATCTGAACATCTAAACATCTGAACATCTAAACATCTGAAACATCTAAACATCTGAACATCTAAACATCTAAACATCTGAACATCTAAACATCTAAACATCTGAACATCTAAACATCTGAACATCTAAACATCTGAACATCTGAACATCTAAACATCTGAACATCTGAACATCTAAACATCTGAACATCTGACATCTGAAATCATCTAAACATCTGAACTGAACATCTAAACATCTGAACATCTAAACATCTGAAACATCTGAACATCTAAACATCTAAACATCTGAACATCTAAACATCTAAACATCTGAACATCTGAACATCTGAACATCTGAACATCTAAACATCTAAACATCTGAACATCTAAACATCTGAACATCTAAAAACATCTGAACATCTAAACATCTGAACATCTAAACATCTGAACATCTAAACATCTGAACATCTAAACATCTGAACATCTAAACATCTAAACATCTGAACAAACATCTGAACATCTAAACATCTGAACATCTGAACATCTAAACATCTGAACAAACATCTGAACATCTAAACATCTGAACATCTAAACATCTGAACATCTGAACATCTGAACATCTAAACATCTGAACAAACATCTGAACATCTGAACATCTAAACATCTGAACATCTAAACATCTAAACATCTGAACATCTGAACATCTGAACATCTAAACATCTGAACATCTGAACATCTAAACATCTGAACACTAAACATCTGAACATCTGAACATCTAAACATCTGAACATCTGAACATCTGAACATCTGAACATCTGAACATCTGAACATCTGAACATCTGAACATCTGAACATCTGAAACATCTAAACATCTGAACATCTAACATCTGAACATCTGAACATCTAAACATCTGAACATCTGAACAAACATCTGAACATCTGAACATCTAAACATCTGAACATCTGAACATCTAAACATCTAAACATCTGAACATCTGAACATCTAAACATCTGAACATCTGAACATCTGAACATCTAAACATCTAAACATCTGAACATCTGAACATCTGAACATCTAAACATCTAAACATCTGAACATCTGAAACATCTGAACATCTTATCTGAACATCTGAAACATCTGAACATCTAAACATCTGAACATCTAAACATCTGAACAAACATCTGAACATCTGAACATCTGAAACATCTAAACATCTGAACATCTGAACAAACATCTGAACATCTAAACATCTGAAACATCTGAACATCTAAACATCTAAACATCTGAACATCTAAACATCTGAACATCTGAACATCTGAACATCTAAACATCTGAACATCTGAACATCTAAACATCTGAAACTAAACATCTGAACAAACATCTGAACATCTAAACATCTGAACATCTAAACATCTGAACAAACATCTGAACATCTGAACATCTGAACATCTAAACATCTGAACAAACATCTGAACATCTGAACAAACATCTGAACATCTGAACATCTGAACATCTGAACATCTAAACATCTAAACATCTAAACATCTGAACATCTAAACATCTGAACATCTAAACATCTGAACATCTGAACATCTGAACATCTAAACATCTGAACATCTAAACATCTGAACAAACATCTGAACATCTATACATCTGAACATCTAAACATCTGAACATCTACACATCTGAACATCTAAACATCTGAACATCTGAACATCTAAACATCTGAACAAACATCTGAACATCTGAACATCTGAACAAACATCTGAACATCTAAACATCTGAACAAACATCTGAACATCTAAACATCTGAACATTTAAACATCTGAACATTTAAACATCTGAACATCTAAACATCTGTTCTTCTGACCCTCTCCTCAGGTCTGTTCTCCCTGTGATCTTCTGCAGTGACTGACCTTGGCCACTAGAGGTGCCTCCGAGTCCGACAGCAGGAAAAACGACTTCCTCAGATCCACAAACACCGCGCCGCTTTCTTCTTCTACTGCGGCGGCGACGTCCACGGCAGCTGACAACGACAACACCAACCACAAACGCTCAGATTTAACAAACGCTGTGGTTTAAAATGAACAAAATCATAATGAATTAATCTCTCAATTTTTTAAATCTCTTGACAGCACTAGTTATTTTCTGGATTTTCTTTTTGATTTTCTTTCTTCTCAACCATTAAACCGTTAAAATGACGGACGGTTCTTTTCTTTGTCCGCGGACAAACCGACAGAATCAGCGACAGATTAAATATTTATTTATTTCAGGTTTGGGTCTGGTGTTGGTCTGGTTTGGGTCTGGTTTGGGTCTGGTTTTGGGTCTGGTTTTGGGTCTGGTTTTGGTCTGGTTTTTGGTTCTGGGTCTGGTTTGGGTCTGGTTTTCGGTCTGGTTTTGGTCTGGTTTTGGTCTGGTTTTGGTCTGGTTTTGGGTCTGGTTTTGGGTCTGGTTTGGGTCTGGTTTGGGTCTGGTTTTGGGTCTGGTTTGGGTCTGGTTTTGGGTCTGGTTTTGGGTCTGGTTTTGGGTCTGGTTTGGGTCTGGTTTGGGTCTGGTTTTGGGTCTGGTTTGGGTCTGGTTTGGGTCTGGTTTGGGTCTGGTGTTGGTCTGGTGTTGGTCTGGTGTTGGTCTGGTTTGGGTCTGGTTTTGGGTCTGGTTTTGGGTCTGGTTTGGTCTGGTTTGGGTCTGGTTTTGGGTCTGGTTTTGGGTCTGGTTTTGGTCTGGTTTTGGTCTGGTTTGGGTCTGGTTTTGGGTCTGGTTTTGGTCTGGTTTTGGTCTGGTTTGGGTCTGGTTTTGGGTCTGGTTTTGGTTTTGATTAAATATTTATTTCAGAGTTACCCAGGTCCAGACAGAAGAGGGCGGAGCCTCTGTCCGAGCAGCCAATCAGAACAGACTCCTGGATGATTGACGGGTCAGCCCCCAGTTTCTGGAGCAGCGAGTTCAGCTCTGGAACACAAGACAGGTGTGACAGGTGAGGCAGGTGAGGCAGGTAAGATGGGTGAGACAGGTGAGACGGGTGAGACAGGTGAGACAGGTGAAGCAGGTGAGACAGGTGAAGCAGGTGAGACAGGTGCGACAGGTGAAGCAGGTGAGGCAGGTGAGACAGGTGAGGCAGGTGAGACAGGTGAGACAGGTGAAGCAGTTGAGACAGGTGAGACAGGTGACACAGGTGAGGCAGGTGAGACAGGTGACACAGGTGAGGCAGGTGAGACAGATGAGACAGGTGCGACAGGTGAGACAGGTGAAGCAGTTGAGACAGGTGAGACAGGTGACAGAGGTGAGACAGGTGCGACAGGTGAGACAGGTGAGACAGGTGCGACAGGTGAGACAGGTACGGCAGATTTATTTAGACTGGTTTTGGTATGAGCAGGTCTGGTTTTAGTCTGGTTTTGGTCTAGTTTTGGTCTGTTTTGGGTCTGGTTTTGGTCAGGTTTGGGACTGGTTCTGGTCTGGTTCTGGTCTGGTTCTGGTCTGGTTTTGGGTCTGGTTCTGGTCTGGTTCTGGTCTGGTTCTGGTCTGGTTTTGGGTCTGGTTCTGGGTCTGGTTCTGGTCTGGTTCTGGTCTGGTTCTGGTCTGGTTTTGGTCTGGTTTTGGGTCTGGTTCTGGTCGGGTTCTGGTCGGGTTCTGGTCTGGTTCTGGTCTGGTTCTGGTCGGGTTCTGGTCGGGTTCTGGTCGGGTTCTGGTCTGGTTTTGGGTCTGGTTCTGGTCGGTTCTGGTCGGGTTCTGGTCTGGTTCTGGTCAGGTTCTGGTCTGGTTCTGGTCGGGTTCTGGTCGGGTTCTGGTCGGGTTCTGGTACCTCGGTGGTGCAGAGACACGGACGAGAAGCTTCGGTCTGGGTTTTTCTTGAGCAGCGGCTTCAGGGAATGAAACAGGATCAAGTCCGAGTCTGAGACGGACTCGGCACAAAAAACATCGTCCTGCTTCAGACGATTCAAGAACCTGCAGAGAACCAGAACTGAACCAGGACTAGACCAGGACTGAACCAGGACTAAACCAGGACTAAACCAGGACTGAACCAGCACTGAACCAGGACTAAACCAGGACTGAACCAGGACTAAACCAGGACTGAACCAGCACTAAACCAGGACTAAACCAGCACTAAACCAGGAATAAACCAGGACTGAACCAGAACTAAACCAGGACTAAACCAGGACTACAACAGGACTAAACCAGAACTGAACCAGAATTGAACCAGGACTAAACCAGGACTAAACCAGGACTGACCTCATTCTGGACACATAACCAGAGCAGCATCTTGTGGAGGTCTGAGTAAGTCCAGAAACCAGGACTCGGAGCGGGTTCAGCATGGTCCGGTCTCTGGTCTGGACTCTGGTCCGGTCTCTGGTCTAGACTCTGGTCCGGTCTCTAGTCTAGACTCTGGTCCGGTCTCTGGTCTAGACTCTGGTCCGGTCTTTGGTCTGGTCTTTGGTCACATGATAAAAATGATGATTCTGTAAATAAATAAAAAAAACAAAACACAAAATGTCAAAATCCACAGATCTGAACTAAAACCCGGTCGACATTTGAGAATTTGCAAAGCTGGATTTTATACCATAGAACTCCATGTAACACACCCCAAGAGTGCACTAAAATCTAAAACCGGGACTAAACCAGTGTTACGTTTGCGTGGACACCGTTAGATAAATGCATTATTTTATTTGTTTATTGAATCGGGTTAAAACTCGTGTAAAAGTTTATTTTTTTGAGCATAAATGTTGAGTTTGTTGTACCTCCGGCTGCTCGTGTTTTGACCTCAATTTCTGCTGCTTCCGCTCCACACCGGAAATACTACTACAGGTTTTACGTTATTATTTTTATTTTAACGTAAATAACACACGCAGAGTAAAGATTTTTCATTCTTTTATGCTTGATTTAAAATATAAAATGTTTATAAAACTGTAGTAACGCGTAATACGTTTTTGTTTTTGTGTTTTTTTCTCGGACTCCATTTCCCATGATGCATCGCTGCTCCACGCTTCCCTGACGCGTAATACGTTTTTTTAATTTTGAATTTTTTATTAATTAATTTTTTTTCCCTTGGACTACATTTCCCGTGATGCATCGCTGCTTCACGCTTCCCTGACGCATAATTCGTTTATTTTTTATTTTTTATAATTTTTTTTTCCCTCGGACTCCATTTCCCGTGATGCATCGCTGCTCCACGCTTCCCTGACGCAAAATTCTTTTTTTTTTTTTTAATTTTCTTTCTTTTTTTATTTTATTTTTTTTTAAATTAATTTTTATTTTTTTCTCGGACTCCATTTCCTGTGATACATCGCTGCTCCACGCTTCTCTGAAGCTTAATTCGTTTATTCTTTTATTTTTTTCCTCGGACTCCATTTCCCGTGATGCCTCGCTGCCCCACGCTTCCCTCACTCGGGTGGTGCACGGTAGCGGCGTGATGTCGGTGTTTATGGACCTGAATCTGACTTTTACCGGGGACAAAGAGGAGCTCCGGAGGCTGGTGGAGACAGCGGCTCACCGTGAGTGCGCGCGGCCGGGCCCGGGGCTCGTTTCGCGGGGTTTAAAGTCACACACGGGCCGTTTGTTGTGGTTGCGGAGCTAGCGGGGGTTAGCTTCAGACCGACGGTTCTGTGGGGAAAGGATGAGGGACTTTTTCCTCTGACCTTCTGTCCCTCTCCTCCTCTGACTCTCTTCTTCTCTGACCCTCTCCTTCTGCTCTTCTGACCTTCTGGTCCTCTGACCTTCTGATCTTCTCCCTTTCCTCCTCTGACCCTCTCCTCTTCTGACTTTCTGACCCTTTCTCCTGCTCCTCTGACCTTCTGACCCTCCTCTCCTCCTCTGACCCCTTCTCCTCTTCTCCTCTGACCCTCTTCTCTTCTCTCTGACCCTCTCCTCTGACGTTCTGACCTTCTCCCTTTGACCTTCTGACCCTCTGCTCCTCTGACCCTCTGCTCCTCTGTTCCTCTGACCCTCAGACCTTCTGACCTTCTCCTCTCGACAGTAGATGGTGTAGATGGTGTAGAGTGAGTAGATGTTGCAGATGATTCTCCTCCGTGTTGTTTGTGTTTCAGTTGGATACTCGACTGTGGCCGTCAATTATGTGTTTGAACCAGACTCCAAGAAGAAAACTGTGAGTTTGATTTTTATTAAACACTCAGTGACAAACGATGAGGGTGGAGGAGCGGGTGGAGGAGCGGGTGGAGGTTTAAAGTGCAGGTGTTGATGAAGACGAGGCCTCAGGAGCGTCTCACATTTACAACACTGTGTAAACACTGGGCTTTGGCGCCATCTGGTGGTGTAAAAATGATCTTTAACACAGACCAGAGCTCGTTCATCTAAACACACCAACTCTCATTTGTCAGTCCTGGTTTAGACCTGGTTTAGACCTGGTTTAGACCTGGTTCAGACCTGGTTCAGACCTGGTTCAGACCTGGTTCAGTCCTGGTTTAGTCCTGGTTTAGTCCTGGTTCAGACCCGGTTTAGTCCTGGTTCAGTCCTGGTTTAGTCCTGGTTTAGTTCTGGTTTAGTCCTGGTTCAATCCTGGTTTTAGTCCTGGTTTAGTCCTGATTCAGTCCTGATTCAGTCCTGGTTTAGTCCTGGTTTAGTCTTGATTTAGTCCTGGTTTTAGTCCTGGTTTTAGACCTGGTTTAGACCTGGTTTAGACCTGGTTTAGACCTGGTTTAGTCCTGGTTGAGTCCTGGTTTAGACCTGGTTCAGTCCTGGTTTAGTCCTGGTTTAGACCTGTTTTAGTCCTGCTTTAGTCCTGGTTTAGTCCTGGTTTAGTCCTGGTTTAGTCCTGGTTTAGTCCTGGTTTAGTCCTGGTTTAGTCCTGGTTTAGTCCTGGTTTAGTCCTGGTTTTGTCCTGGTTTTAGTCCTGTTCAGTCCTGGTTTAGTCCTGGTTTAGTCCTGGTTTAGTCCGTTATCCGTTTTTTTCCCTTTTTCATTTAAACACAAAATCAAAAACTGAAAAACACGAATCATTATCTGTTTTTTCCTGTTTTTTTTTTTTCCATTTTGGTTTTGGAGACAAATAATAAAGAAAATTTTAGTTTTTTTTTTTTTTCATTTTCTTATTTTTGGTTTTATTTTGAAAGGACTTTATATCTTTATTGTATTTTTTAGTTTAAATGTTTTTTTTTGTGTTCAGCCGGTGCCCACTCCTCTGCCCGTCTCCGAGCTCCTCCAGACTCTGCCCATCGTCCAGGTGAGGATCACATTTACATTTTTAATTCTTTCAGTATTTTTCCGTTCTGGTCTGATTTGTTTTTCCCGTTTAAACTTTTCAGATTTGGAACTGGAACTTTAATTTTAACGTTTATTTTATTTGAGCAGATTTAAAACGCACGAGATTCAGTTGAGAAAAATAAGTGCACGCGTGTATTTATTTGTATTTATTACTTTTAAGAGTTGTCTGAGTGACTTTTATTATTCGTTTGTCTGCGTCTGCAAAGCTCCAGACGCCCTGTTCCACCTCGTGATGTCATTAAGTGGCGGTTTTCAAGTTTCTTTTACTTTTCAGTTCAGTTGTTCAGAAGAGATCGGTACAATTCCAGTCTAAAAGTAAAAAAACAACGACTGGACTGGGACTAAACCGGGACTAAACCGGGACTAAACTGGGACTAAACCTGGACTAAACCGGGATTGAACCAGGACTAAACCTGGACTGAACCGGGACTGAACCTGAACTAAACCGGGATTGAAACCAGGATTGAACCAGGACTGAACCAGGACTGAACCAGGACTAAACCGGAACTGTACCTGAACTAAACCGGGACTGAACCGGGACTGAACCGGGACTGAACCGGGACTGAACCGGGACTAAACCGGGACTAAACCGGGACTGAAGGAGGACTGAAGGAGGACTGAAGGAGGACTGAAGGAGGACTAAACGTGGACTAAACGTGGACTGAACCGGGACTGAACCGGGACTGAACCGGGACTGAACCGGGACTGGGCCAGGACTAAACCAGGACTAAACCAGGACTAAACCAGGACTAAACCAGGACTAAACCAGGACTGGACTAAACTTGGACTAAACTTGGACTAAACCAGGACTAAACTTGGACTAAACCAGGACTAAACCTGAACTAAACCTGCACTAAGAACCAGGACACCGTGGAGCACTTCCTGTATTACCACATGATGACATCACAAGATGGAACAGAGCTTTTTCTGTTTGCTGCGAGAAGAACTCGTTTTTAAAGTGTTTTTAAGGAGTTTTAAAAGTGTTTTTAAGGAGTTTTAAAAGTGTTTTTAAGGAGTTTTTAAAGTGTTTTTAAGGAGTTTCATAAAATTAAAATCCAGTCACATTTATCTCCGTGTGTTTTTAACGCAGGGACGCTCTCAGCCAATCAGAATCCTGAACAGACTGACCATCGTGATGTCCGACTCCAGCCACTACGTAAGCCCCGCCCCTCCACCGCTCACACGTAACGAGGACTCACTTTATCCACGTTTACCTACAGTTTTTCCACGATTCAACATGCGTCTCGATACACGGGTCACGATATCGATTCAATAAGTTTTAAGACGTGAAAAAAAAAAAAACACATAATATTTTCTCCTGAGTAAAATATAATAACTAAGTCTGGGCAGAAATAAAAAATCATAATCACAATAATCGCATGAGTTCCTGTGATTAATCGCAAAACCCAAAAATGAATTCAAAAGTGGCATACAGCATTTCTTAAAACAGAGAAACTAGTCTGTAAAGTCCATGTTTAGACTTCTTCCTTTGCCCTGTAAACCCTGTAAGACCTGTAAACCCCGCAAACCCTGTATAAATCTTGTAAACCCTGTATAAACCCAGCAAACCCCGTAAACTCTGTATAAACCCTGTAAAGTCTGTAAACCCTGTAAAGTCTGTAAACCCTGTCAACCCTGTAAACCCCGTAAACTCTGTATAAATCCCGTAAACCCTGTAAACCTTGTAAACCTCGTAAACCCCGTGAACCCTGTAAACTCTGTATAAACCCTGTAAACTTTGTGTAAACCCTGTAAACCTCATAAACCCTGTAAGCCCAGTAAACCCTGTAAACTCTGTAAAATCCATAAAACCTGTAAATTCTATAAATATTGTAAACCCCGTAAACTTCGTAAACCCTGTAAAAACCCTGTAAACGCTGTATAAATCCCGTAAACCCTGTTCTTTTGTCATATATTAGAATACCTCCCTCATAATGGTTTATTTTTGTGTTTTTTCGTTGTTTTTTTTCTTCGTCCGGTCGGTGTTTTTCAGAGAGCCAGTTGTCCCGAGTACAGACACTTCGATCTTCTGGCCGTTCAGCCGCACACGGACAAACTGTTTCTGGTAACGAGCTCGAAACGAACTCAAATAAAAATGTGTAAATTATAATTTCACACACCAGAACCTGATTGTGCTCCGGTTCTGGTTCTGGTTCTGGTTCTGGTTCTGGTCTAACCTAGTCTCTTTCCTCAGTCGGCCTGTATGACGTATGACGTGGACCTGATCTGTCTCAGCGTGAACGACAGACTCCCCTTTTTCTACAAGAGAGCGCCCGTCTACGGGGTGAGAACTAGACCAGGACTAGACCAGGACAAAACCAGGATGAAACCAGGACTGAACTAGGGACCAAATCCAGGGACCTGAACCAGGACTAAAGCAGGACTAAACCAGATCTAAACAAGGACTACACAAGGACTAAATCAGGACTAAACGAGAACTAAACTAGGTCTAAAGCAGGGACTGAACAAGGACTAAACATTGAACCAGGACTAGACCTTGATTAAACTAGGACTGAACAAAGACTAAACCATTACTGGACCAGGATGAAACCAGGACTGAACCAGGGACCTAACCAGGACTAAATGAGGACTGGACCTGGACTAAGCGAGGACTAAACGAGAACTAAACCAGGTCTAAAGCAGAACTAAAGCAGGACTAAACACTGAACCAGGACTAGACCAGGATTAAACCAGGACTGAACAAAGACTAAACGAGGACTAAACGAGGACTAAAGCAGGACTTGTATGAGACGGGTGTGCACCTGTCGCTCCCTGCCTGTCCCTGTCTGATGTGACTCTGTGTTGAGGCGGTGGAGCGCGGCGTGGCGTTCGAGGTCTCGTATTCCGCCGCCATCAGAGACTCCACCAGGAGGCGCTACACTCTGGCCAACGCCATGTTCCACTCGGACGTCAGCAAAGGAAAGGTACTAAAGACGCACAACGCACACAACGCACACGACGCACAACGCACACGACGCACAACGCACACGACGCACAACGCACACGACGCACAACGCACACGACGAACAACGCACACGACGAACAACGCACACGACGCACACGACACACAACGCACACAACGCACGCGACGCACGCACGCAACGCACACGACGCGCATGACGCGCACGACGCACACGACGCACAACGCACAACGCACAACGCACACACGACGAACAACGCACACGACGCACACGACACACAACGCACACAACGCACGCGACGCACGCAACGCACACGACGCGCACGACGCACAACGCACACGACGCACAACACACACGGCACACGACGCACACGACACACGACGCACAACGCACAGGACGCACAACGCACACGACGCACGACGCACACGACGCACAAACGCACACGCACAACGCACACACGCAACGACACACACGACGCACACGACGCACAACGCACGCGACGCACAACGCACGCGACGCACAACGCACGCGACGCACACGACGCACGCGACGCACAACGCACGCGACGCAAAACGCACGCGACGCACAACGCACGCGACGCACACGACGCACAATGCACGCGACGCACAACGCACGCAACGCGCACGACGCACACGACGCACAACGCACAAGACGCACACGACGCATAACACACACGACGCACAACGCACACGACACACACGACGCACACGACGCACAACGCACGCGACGCACGCAACGCACGTGACGCACGACGCACGACGCACACGACGCGCAACGCACGCGACGTGCACGACGCACACGACGCGCACGACGCACAACACATACGACACACACGACGCACAACGCACGCGACGCACAACGCACGTGACGCACGATGCACGCAACGCACAATGCACGCAACGCACACGACGCGCACGACGCACAACACACACACACGACGCACACACGACGCACAACGCACACGACGCACAAGACGCACACGACGCACACGACGCATACGACGCACAACGCACGCGACGCACAAACGCACGCGACGCACACGACGCACAATGCACGCGACGCACAACGCACGCAACGCGCACGACGCACACGACGCACACAACGCACACGACGCACAACGACGCCACACACACGCATAACACACGACGCACACGACGCACACGACGCACAACGCACGCGACGCACAACGCACGTGACGCACGACGCACAAGACGCACACGACGCGCAACGCGCACGACGCACACGACGCGCACGACGCACACCACATACGACACACACGACGCACAACGCACACGACGCACGATGCACGCAACGCACAATGCACGCAACGCACACGACGCGCACACGCACGCACAACACACACGACGCACACGACGCACAACGCACACAACGCACACGACGCACAAGACGCACACGACGCATACGACGCACGCGACGCACAACGCACGCGACGCACGCGACGCACAACGCACGCGACGCACAACGCACACGACGCACAACGCACACGACGCACAACACACGACGCACGCGACGCACAACGCACACTGTGCACGACGCGCAACACACACAAGGCACACACAACACACAGATTTAGTCCTGGTTCAGTCCTGGTTCAGTCCTGGTTCAGTCCTGGTTTTAGTCCTGGTTTAGTCCTGGTTCAGTCTTGGTTTAGTCCTGGTTTTAGTCCTGGTTTAGTCCTGGTTCAGTCCTGGTTTAGTCCTGGTTCAGTCCTGGTTTTAGTCCTGGTTTTAGTCCTGGTTTTAGTCCTGGTTTTAGTCCTGGTTTAGTCCTGGTAAAGTCCTGGTTTAGTCCTGGTTTAGTCCTGGTTTAGAAAACAGAATAGAAAAGAAAATCGTTGTTTTTTTTGTCGTCTTATTTTCGGTTTTATTTCGAACCAAACCGAACCGTGTGCGTTGTGTCGCCGTGGTAACCGCTGAACATCCGGCCGTAGACGTGCATGTAGCGCTGACCCGTTGTCCTGTGTGGTGTTTCAGAGCGTGGTGGTGTCCAGCGCGGCCGAGAAGGTGAGGCTCCTCCCTCCCGTTTTCTCTCCGGAACCTTCCGACGTGTCGACGTTTCTCACTCCCCCGTGACGTGTTTTTCAGGCGCTGGAGCTGCGAGGGCCCCACGACGTCATCAACCTGTATCCTCCAGTCACACGGCAGCGGGCGCCACCTCGTGATGTCATCGGGGGGGGAGTCTGAGATAAAAAGAACGAGATCAGAGCAGAAGATTTACTCTAGTTTAAGTTTAATTTAGACAAAGAATTATCTAAGTCCTGGTTTAGTCCTCATTTAGACCTGATTCAATCCCAGTTTAGTCTCGGATTAGACCTGGTTTAGACCTGGTTTAGTTCTGGTTTTAGACCTGGTTTTAGACCTGGTTTTAGACCTGGTTTTAGTCTTGGTTTAGACCTGGTTTAGACTTGGTTTAGTCCTGGTTTAGTCTTGGTTTAGACCTGGTTTAATCCTGGTTTAGTCTTGGTTTAGACCTGGTTTAGTCCTGGTTTAGTCCTGGGTTTAGTCCTGGTTTAATCCTGGTTTAGTCTTGGTTTAGACCTGGTTTAATCCTGGTTTAGTCTTGGTTTAGACCTGGTTTAGTCCTGGTTTAGTCTTGGTTTAGACCTGGTTTAGTCCTGGTTTAGTCCTGGTTTAATCCTGGTTTAGTCTTGGTTTAGACCTGGTTTAATCCTGGTTTAGTCTTGGTTTAGACCTGGTTTAGTCCTGGTTTAGTCCTGGTTTAGTCCTGGTTTAGTCCTGGTTTAGTCCTGGTTTAGTCCTGGTTTAGTCCTGGTTTTAGTCTTGGTTTAGTCTTGGTTTAGACCTGGTTTAGTCCTGGTTTAGTCTTGGTTTAGACCTGGTTTAGTCCTGGTTTAATCCTGGTTTAGTCTTGGTTTAGACCTGGTTTAATCCTGGTTTAGTCTTGGTTTAGACCTGGTTTAGTCCTGGTTTAGTCCTGGTTTAGTCTTGGTTTAGACCTGGTTTAATCCTGGTTTAGTCTCTGGTTTAGACCTGGTTTAGTCCTGGTTTAGTCTTGGTTTAGTCTTGGTTTAGTCCTGGTTTAGACCTGGTTTAGTCCTGGTTTAGTCTTGGTTTAGTCTTGGTTTAGTCTTGGTTTAGTCCTGGTTTAGACCTGGTTTAGTCCTGGTTTAGATCTGTTTTAGTCCTGGTTTTGTTTCTTACCTCCACATCAGGACTCAGCTCTTTGGTTTGTCTGATCGTTGTGGGAGAGACGCCGTGACCACAAACTGTCGCTCTGTGGTGCTTCACGCAGGTAAAGCGCCAGCGGGGGGGCAGGGGGCGGGGCAGTGCCTGGTGGGGGCGGGGCTGAGAGGAGCTCCTCACGTTTTGACAGGTGGACAGGTGCAGTGGTCTCTGTCTGGGTGGTTGTGGCGAAGAGGAGCTGAGTCTGGGTTTGGTCCGGGCGTCTCCCTTAGAGACAGAGTGAGGAGGTCGGAGTAGAGCCGCTGCTCCTCCATCTGTTCTGATGTCTCCTGGACGTGTCCCTCAGGAGGTGTTCATGTCCCACCGGGAGGAGGCCCCGGGGAAGACCCAGGACACACTGGAGGGACGATGGTCACACTGCACCTGAAGTGACCCAGATCTGATTTTTTGTTCCTGTATCTGATCTTTTAATGACATCTGAACCACACAGATCTGATTTTTTCAAATGTGACCCAGGACACTTGGATCTGTGCTCCTGAAACTGATCCATATCTGATCTTTAACATGTGACTTCAGTGTGAACGGTCAGGTCACATTCATCCACCTACACGTTATCAACAAGACACAAACGTCACTATCAGGGATGGGCGTGATTAGTTGATTAATCGATAATTGATCATTAAGAATTTCATGGATTCCGTTCATTTTAATGGACAAACTGAATGTATGTTTGTGTGTCGTGACCAAACAGGTGTGTACATGTGTCTCTGCATCAGAAGGAGCGAGACACAAACAGTGGGTCAGTCTGTAACGAACCGAAGCACAAATGTGGATTTAACCAGGATTTGGACAAGAAATTCCACACTTTCCGTTGCGTTGGGACAAGTGTGAGTCCATGTGCACAGTGGATAAAGCAGCACATATGTTTCTGTGTCCAGTGGGAAAAACGTTTTTCCAGGTGAGAGTCGCTCAATGTGGATGACGAGGCCCCGCCCCCCTCCCCCCGTACGCTGTCCTGGTTTTGACAAACACAAATCTGGTCACACTGACCTGTATTCACCTGAGTCATGTCTTTTAATCCAACACAAGTTGAACCACATCAGCGACACAAGAGCTGGAGTTTTATCTTCACTTAGTTTATGTAAATTAGTGATGTGGTTTTAAGTTTTGTTTCTGTGAGATTTGAACAAAACTGAATTAAACACATTATAATGTCAAACAGCTGATGTGGATCTAGAGTCGTTATGTTTATATGTCGTAAAGTCGAATTTATTTATGCAGATTAGTGCAGATAGTAATAATAATGATGATCATTTTAATATAAAAACATTAATGATTAATCGATAATCCATTCTTCAGACGATTGATTAAGAAAATTTGATCGAATACCCGTCCCTAGTCACTATTCTGCGCTGAAGTAGAGAAAACTGTTAATGAACTCTGTGTGACTGAAGTGAAGCACATGTCCACTCACCACAAAACACCACGACCAAAAACCTCGTCCTTCTCCTTCTCAATCTCCTCCTTAAAACAAGTAAGTTGTTCATGTTCTGGCTCCGGTACGAGAGGAACTTTAAAATCTCCAGGTGCTCGATGATCCGTGTATCATTCGTTCATTTGTTTTTCAATATAAAACCAAAAATAAAACGAAAAAACAACAGTTTTCTTCATTATTTGTCTCCAAAATCAAAATGAAAAAACGGATAAAGATTTGTTTTTTCAGTTTTTGATTTTGTGTTTAAATGAAGAATGGAAAAAACGGGATAACGGCCGTTTTCCATTTACGTGAATCCAGTGACTGAGATGCCGAACTGAACCAGGACTGATCCAGGTCCGAGACCAGAGCAGGACCAGGGCGGACTCCGAGCTTTGACTCCGAGCCTCCACGGGAGCTCTGCTGTGGGCTCTGAGCCTCCGGTCTGGTCCCGGTCTCAGTCCCGCTCTGGTCCCAGTCTGGTCCCTGTCTGTCCCGGTCTCAGTCCTGGTCTGGTCCCAGTCTGGTCTCGGACCTGGTTCAGTTCTGGTTCAGTCCGTATGCAGCGTAAAAGTCCAACATCGCAGTCACAGGAGTCACGTAAACGGGAAACGGCCGTTATCCCGTTTTTGCCATTTTTCATTTAAACACAAAATCGAAAACTGAAAAAACAAATCATTATCTGTTTTTTCATTTTGGTTTTGGAGACAAATAATGAAGAAAACTGTTGTTTTTTCGTTTTCTTATTTTTGGTTTTATTTTGAAAAACGAATAAACGAACGACACACGGATTCTCGATGCTGCGTCCATGTTTGGACAACTTGTGTAAACACAGAGACGCTCGCTGCGGTTGACGTCGTCGTGTCTCCAGTGTCACATGTGGGACACTTTTGGACCGTTTAATGTTCACACTGGAGTCACACACAAGTCACATTTAACTGGAAATGTGAACGACCTCGAAAAAACATCGGATTTCCCACACAAAAAAAACACGAATTGTCTCTGGACCGGAGGAGCTGGAGGAAGTGTCTGGGGTAACAAGTTTATTTCTCCGACTGACAGCTCCGGTTTCCATGGAGACAGAAAAGTTCCGCAGTGCTCCTTTAAAGACCACCTCGTGTCTTTTTCTTTCTTTTTCTGACGTTTTGTTCTTGTGTTTTGGCAGAGAGCAGGAAAACCGCCGGAGGAATCGTCCGCACGTTCAGACGACTCGACGCTCCGCACACGGACGAGAGTACGGAACGGTCGTCATGGCAACGGCATTTATTTATTTATTTGTTTATTTATTTGAATAAGAAACTTACCCCAAGACCTGACTCAACTTAAACCAGAATATGTCCTGGTTTAGTCCTGGTTCAGTCCTGGTTTAGTCCTAGTTTAGACCTGGTTCAGTCCTGGTTTAGTCCTAGTTTAGACCTGGTTCAGTCCTGGTTTAGTCCTAGTTTAGACCTGGTTTAGTCCTAGTTTAGACCTGGTTTAGACCTGGTTTAGTCCTGGTTTAGTCCTGGTTCAGTCCTGGTTTAGTCCTCCTTTAGGCCTGATTTAGACCTGGTTGAACTGAACCAGGACTGAAATCTTGACCATAACTCTTATTTTTTTCTTTCGATTTGGTCTGTGCCTATTTTAGTGTTTTATTTTAGTTTTATTGATTTATTATTATTTTTTTTTTATTTTAGTTTTATTTTAGTGTTTATTTTAGTTTTTATTTTTGTGTTTATTTTAGTTTTTATTTTAGTGTTTATTTTAGTGTTTTAGTTTTTATTTTAGTTTTATTTTAGTTTTTATTTTTGTTTTTATTTTTGTGTTTATTTTTGTGTTTATTTTAGTTTTTATTTTAGTGTTTATTTTAGTGTTTTAGTTTTTTTTTAGTTTTTATTTTTGTGTTTATTTTTGTGTTTTAGTTTTTATTTTAGTTTTTATTTTTGTGTTTATTTTAGTGTTTTAGTTTTATTTTAGTTTTTATTTTAGTTTTTATTTTAGTTTTTATTTTAGTTTTATTTTAGTTTTTATTTTAATGTTTATTTGAGTTTTTCGTGTTCCAGGTGAAGTTTGCCGCGCCTCCAAACGAGCGAGAGCCGACGCCGCAGACGGGACTGAAAATCTGTAACTTCTGAGTTAAAGGGGCACTGTGGAACTTTTCTGGAGGAGTCCTCTACCTGTTTGTCTCCATGGAGATGTTGGATTCATGTTTTGGTCGTATGTAAAAGATGTAAACAAAAATGAATGAAAAATGAAATAAAACTACTTCAGTTCTGGTTTTCTAGTCGACGACTGAAATAATAAGACCAAGTTTCCAGTTCAGTATAATTCAAATAAATAAAAAGTTTCAAGAACAACGGGGAAAAACAGACGACAAAATATATAAAAAAAACAAAACAAGTATTTCTTTACAGTGAGGGCCCCAAACTCGAGTTCGCCCAGGGCCCCAAAACTGCAAACTCCACCCCTGGTCCTGCCAAATCATCCGAGTTAAGACACTTAAAAATAATTTAAGATTATAGTCTAGAATTAAACCAGGACTAAACCAGGTCTAAACCAGGACTAAACCAGGACTAAACCAGGTCTAAACCAGGTCTAAACCAGGTCTAAACCAGGACTAAACCAGGTCTAAACCAGGACTAAAGGAGAATTAAACCAGGACTAAACCAGGACTAAACCAGGACTAAACTAGGACTAAAGGAGAATTAAACCAGGACTAAAGGAGGACTAAACCAGGTCTAAACCAGGACTAAACTAGGACTAAACCAGGTCTGAAGAAAAAGTAAAATTAGGACTAAACCAGGTCTAAAGGAGGACTAAACCAGGACTAAATCAGGTCTAAACCAGGTCTAAACCAGGTCTGAAGAACAACTAAATTAGGACTAAAGCAGGGCTAGGAGAAAAAAAAAAAATCCCCAGAATTTTTTTTCTGTTAGTTTCCCCCATGTGTCAGGATCCACCATGTCAAATTTCAGGGTTATTTGTCCATGTTTGCAGTTTCAGTACCTTAATATTTACAGTTACATCATTTCACAAATAGCTTTTCTTAAAAACTGTGTTTTTTGGGCCCTGAGACCAAACGGGGCCGAGTTGAGGTTTGTCCATATCAACTCGTGATGGCCCAAGAAATAATATAACAGGAAATGATAGTGTAGTGAAAAAAAGGAGTAAAAAACATCCTGAGACGTGGACCTGGCTCCCGGCCTAATATTAAAACTTGTAAAATGTAAACGTTAATAAGTATTTCAGTGAGTGAGTGAGTGAGCTTTTATTTCTACAGCATCTTTTACAGATAAATTAAAAAAAAAAGTGTTTTTCTGAGCAACAAGAACAGAGGAGTTACTCTCAGTAAAAAGAAATTTATTCAAGTGTAACATGAGTAAATTTATTTTATACTAAAACTGACAAAGTTTACTTGAAGTTGACTTTTTATAAACTATTATTCATGTACTTAAGAATAGTGTGAGAATAGTGAAGTTTACTTGACTTACACTGAGAAGTATAAACAAGTAAGTCTAAACAGTACTTAAATACTAAAACTTATACTTTAATACTCAAACTTATATTTTAATACTCAAACTTATACTTTAATACTCAAACTTGTACTTGAGTAAATGTGTTCTGTGATTTGTTGTGGTGTGTAAGAGGAGTAAAGGTGCACACAGGTTTTTGTAGTTTGGAGGTGAACAGTGTTTGACCGTCGTCTGTGGAGCTGAAATCGACTGAAGCCGAGAGGGTCACAACGAACACAAATCGCCGCAACAAATACAAAAGCCACAACACGTTAAAAAGCCGCAACACGTTAAAAAGCCGCAACACGTTAAAAAGCCACAACACGTTAAAAAACCACAACACGTTAAAAAGCCACAACACGTTAAAAAGCCACAACACGTTAAAAAGCCACAACAGAAGTGACCGCAGGACTCTATTTTCCGACAGATCAGATCAAGCGGCAAGTGAAGAAGAAGAACTACAACATGAAACGAATAATGATAAAACAATAAATTACTGACCTGAAGTGTGACCTGAAGTGTGACCTGAGGTGTGAGGACCTGAGGTGTGACCTGAGGTGTGACCTGAGGACCTGATGTGTGACCTGAGGACCCGAATTGTGACCTGAGGTGTGTGGACCTGAGGTGTGACCTGAGCTGTGACTTGAGGATCGGAGGGTGTGACCTAGTGTGTGACCTGGTGTGTGACGTGAGGTGTGACCTGGTGTGTGACCTGTGGACCTGGTGTGTGACCTGAGGTGTGAGGTGGTGTGTGACCTGGTGTGTGACCTGAGGACTTAGTGTGTGACCTGGTGTGAGGACCTGGTGTGTGACCTGAGGTGTGAGGACCTGAGGTGTGACCTGGTGTGTGACCTGAGTTGTGAGGACCTGGTATGTGACCTGAGGTGTGAGGACCTGAGGTGTGAGGACCTGAGGTGTGACCTGGTGTGTGACCTGAGGTATGACCTGGTGTGTCAAATGCCCTCCCGGCGTCTCCAGTGGGATTTGTTGGGACCGGTTTGGCAACAAACACACCCAGAACTCTCCCAGATAAACCCACAGACAAAAGAGCAGGGAGGGGCAGGACCAAGACCAGGACCAGGACTGAACCAGGACTAGACCAGGACCAGACCAGGACCAGGATCAGGACCAGGACAAGACCAGGACTAGACCAGGACCAGGACCCGGACTTAGACCAGGACTTAGACCAGGACCAGGACCAAGACCAGGACTGAACCAGGACCAGGACTAGACCAGGACCAGGACAAGACCAGGACTAGACCAAGACTCAAACAGGACCAGACCAGGACCAGGACTAGACCAGGACTAGACCCAGACCAGGACCAGATCAGGACCGGATCAGGACTTGACCAGGACTGAACCAGAACCAGACCAGGACCAGACCAAGACTAAACCAGGTCTAAAAACAGGACTGTGAGGTCAACAAATAAAACCAGAAGTTTTCAGAATAATAAATATATTTAGTAAAAAATAATAATATATAAGATTCTTCATGTAAACACAGAGACACAGACACGTCACTGTTTTGTTCAGATTCTACTTTTTATAAACGAGTCTAAGAATAAAATAGAAAATAAACAGAAGTGTAAAAGTTTGAACAATGTGAGAGTCACGTCCAGTGTAAAAACACACGATGTGTCCAGACTTTTATATGGAATATATATATATATATATATATATATATATATATATATATATATATATATATATATATATATATATATATATATATATATATATATATGAGATGCTCTTCTAATGATCCAGCCCCACCCCCTCCGCTGTCCTCTGACCGAACCCTCTGTCCTCCGTCCTCTGTCCTCCGTCCTCCGTCCTCTGTCCTCCGTCCTCCGTCCGCTGTCCTCCGTCCTCCGTCCGCTGTCCTCTGTCCTCCGTCCGCTGTCCTCTGTCCTCCGTCCTCCGTCCGCTGTCCTCTGTCCTCCGTCCGCTGTCCTCTGTCCTCCGTCCTCTGTCCTCTGTCCGCCCTGACCCGCGGGACTCTGGACCGTCCCTCTGAGGAGGATCGTGTATTTTATTGTATTTTATTCAAATATATTTTGGTGATAATATTTGACTTTAGTCACGTTTGTCTTCGGTGTGCGCTTTTGTTTACGGCGGTGACGTCACGCAGTGGTGCACCGGGGCGGGGCGCGGTGACGTCATGTGCTCCGTTCTCGCCGCTGTCATGGCCTCCGCTCCGACCGCGCTGTAAACGCTCCCGAACCACAGCCGAAACGCAGCCAGAACGCGCCCGAACCCGCGACCCGGTCCTTTCCCGACGCCCAGAGAGGGAGCGAGGGTCCCGGGCTCCCGTCCGTCCCCTGGCCGCCGCCCCCGGAGACCCTCCTGACGCCGCCGCTCGTTCCGTCGCCGCGCTGAGCTCCGCGAACCGAAGAAGATGGCGGACCCGGCGGAGTGCACCATCAAAGTGATGTGCCGTTTCAGGCCCCTGAACAGCTCCGAGGTCACCCGCGGAGACAAGTACATCCCCAAGTTCCAGGGAGAGGACACGGTGGTGATCGGGGTGAGTGATCCGGGCCCGCGGGCCGAGCCCCGGGCGCAGCCCCGGGGACGCCATTTGTGCCGCTGAGTCTGCGGCGTTAGCATCTTTAGCATTAGCGCCTCGGAGCTAAAGGCTAAAGGAGGCTAAAGAGGCTAAAGAGGCTAAACACAAGAACCAGCTCCGTGTCCGGGCCCCGAGCGGCCTCCGCCTCCTCCGCCCGCGGCCCGGAGCCTTTGTCCCGTTACGGTCGCTCCTCATGAGCCAAACAAACACCACGCCTTATCCGGGCACCTCCGGAGCGCTGTCACCGGCTGTCAGCCGGAACCAGCGCCCCGAACCGCAGCGCACATCGGGGCTTTGTGTTGTGACAGCCCGGCCCCAGCCCCGGGTCCACCCCGCCCGGGCCGCTGTGTGTGTGCGGTTCTGCTTGTGTACGTGGTTCGTGCGTGAGCCGCGGGCCTCCGGTGCGAACAGGCGGCGTCAGCACAAAGCCCGAGCCGCAGCTGTCCCCGGATCAGCCGCTTCAGTCCGAGTCTGCGCCACTCGGACACAGCGGAGGAATCAGAGTTGATGCGCACTGATCCACCCTGTGCCAAGGCGCGCGGTGCCAAAGCGCGCGGTGCCAGCTGTTGTCGCGCCTGTGCCGGGGCGTTACGCAGCGTTTTGGAGAGGGGCGCGTGTGGTGGTTGGACCGGGGGGGACTCGGTGCGCTGCGGGTCCTGCTCACGCCACAAACGTCACGATCTGAGGACGTTTCGGTTTATTTTTGTCCTATTTCTTTGACACCTTCACGTGGTCAGTTCAGTTTTAGACTTGAGCAGTGATGATGCTTTTTCTGACCGGAGGAGGCCCGATGGAGAGAGACACAGAGTGGACAGGGGCGGACAGGGGCGGACAGGGGCAGGCAGGAGCAGGCAGGAGCAGACAGGAGCAGCTCTGAAAACGCCCTGTCACACTGTACATATGATAAAGGTGCTCTGCTCGTCTCCATGGAGATGTTTTTCCGGCCTTGTGACTTTTATCAAAACAAACTTCCAGAGGGGAGTGACATGGCAGAAAAGTTCCACATTGCACCTTTAAACGTGTGTCAGAGTTGAACCTGAAGCGGCCGGGTCACATGACGCTGGTTAAACTTTGAGTCAGAGCTGGACTTTGCTGTGGCCATAAAATCTCCACCAGGATCTGAGCTGCTCCCAAAGACACGGGTCTAGTCCTGGTCTAGTCCTGGTCTAGTCCTGGTCTAGTCCTGGTCTAGTCCTGGATATAGTCCTGGATATAGTCCTGGATATAGTCCTGGATATAGTCCTGGATATAGTCCTGGATATAGTCCAGGATATAGTCCAGGATATAGTCCAGGTTATAGTCCAGGATATAGTCCAGGTTTAGTCCTGGGTTTTGGTCCAGGGTTTTGGTCCAGGGTTTTGGTCCTGGTTTTAGTCTTGGTTTTAGTCTTGGTTTAGCCCTGGATTTAGTTCAGGTTTAGTCCTCGTTTAGTCTTGGTTTAGTCCTGGTTAAGACCTGGATTTAGTTCTGGTTTTCGTCCTGGTTTTCTTCTGGTTTAGTCCTGGTTTAGACCTGGTTTAGACCTGGTTTAGTCCTGGTTTAGTCCTGGTTTAGTCCTGGTTTAGTCCTGGTTTAGTCCTGGTTTAGTCTCGGTTAATCTGCAGATAAACAAAGAGTAATATTTTGTCCTGGGACCTCATCAGGCGTTTATGCCCCGAGGACAAAGGAGGAGAGGAGGTAGGAGAGAGGAGGGAGGAAGGAGGAGAGGAGGGCGGAAGGATGAGAGGAGGGAGGAGAGAGGAGAGGAGAGGAGAGAGAGGAGGGAGGAGAGGAAGGAGAGGAAGGAGGAGGTAGGAGAGAGGAAGGAGAGAGGATGAAGGAGGTAGGAGAGAGGAGGGAGGAGAGAGGAGAGGAGGGCGGAGGGAGAGAGAAGGTAGGAGAGAGGAGAGGAGAGGAGGGAGGAAAGAAGGGAGGAAAGAGGAGGGAGGAGAGAGGAGGGGGAGGGGAGGATGAGAAGTCGACAAGGGACCAAGGCCTTCAGCTGTCAGAGCAACAATCAACATCTCATCTCCTCCAGGACTAAAACCAGGACTAAAACCAGGACTAAAACCAGGACTAAAACCAGGACTAAAACCAGGACTAAAACCAGGACTAAAACCGGGACTAAAACCAGGTCTAAATCAGGACTAAACCGGGACTAAATCCAGGACTAAATCCAGGACTAAATCCAGGACTAAATCCAGGACTAAATCGGGACTAAATCGGGACTAAATCGGGACTAAATCGGGACTAAACCGGGACTAAACCGGGACCAAACCGGGACTAAACCGGGACTAAAATAGGTGTTGTTTTGATGCAGAGTTTCCACAGTGACTCAGTGACAGAGCACTTTAACATCCTCATAATTACAGCTCGTCTGGTTCACCTCGTTACACACACACACACACACACTTTACACACACACACACACACTCTCTCTGAACTCTCCAGAGTATGAAACGGAGAAAAATGACTTCAAAGTTTGTGTTTTGTCCAGACAGAAGTAGAACAGTTTGGGATCTCAGAATCTGACGAGTCGTTGCTTTAATGAAGAAATATTTGTACGTGAAAAACATGAACTCTGCTGTTTGTACCGTGAACCTAAAAGAAGTTTTCGTGCAAACTGACATGACGATTATTTGGTTTGATTTTTCTCCTCACGAAGCTCGAGTCGTCACGTGTTTCCCGTTTGGTGCTGATCAGGATCGAGCGGCGACACTTTCACACTCGAGTAACTTTTACAGGATGAATAAATACACAATATACTTTCTCTTTAAAGGTTGTATGGAGGATTTTTTTTTGGTTTCAAATTGTCAGTGAAAGATTAAAATACCATTACAGAAACGCAGCAGCTTTGTAATTATGATTACCAAAATAAAAAAGAACGAAAATCTATCAACTGTGGACATAGTGAGGCCAGATAAACATCAGCCAATAGAAAACGAGGCTCCCTCATTTTCTATTGGCTGTTAGGTTGTCAATCAAATTCCCTAGTGTAACTGACTCGTTGGAGTGCAGGGATTACGCGGTTTATGCGGCGGTTCTTAGAGGATTTTTCGAACTGTCGCTTCCTTTACATTTCGCACAAAGTTTGTCGCAACATCGGACGAGAATCCACGACCGGTTCGCCGCAAAAGAAAGTCCTTTTTTTGAGGTCGCTGAAAGAAGAAGAGAAGGGGAAAAGGAGCAAAGCCAAACTGAGGTGATTCTTGGAGATCTGGTCCAGCGATGGTGCGACCGAAGCAGACGAAGCGTCTAAAAACTGATGCGTCGGTCACTAAATTACTTCTAGACAGGAAACTTCAACAGTAATTCTGAATGCGCACAAGGATTGTCGCTGTATTTCTCTTCACTTAAAAAAATCCTCTATACAATCTTTAAGTCGTATCATTGAATATAAAAGAATGAGAACTTCCCATGTGGGTTACTCGAGTTGGGTGAGTTGGAGGAAGTGGAGCAGTCCGAGAGCACACAGAAAAATGCCACACTTTAGAATTCGACAGGATCCAAATTTTGATACCGTTAAATCTTCTCAGGATGTTACCGGAGTAAATTACAGATTTACCAAAATGTTTTAGTACAACTTTGGTAAACTGCAAACAGTGTTGTGGAGTAACAGATTACATGTACCAGAGTTAAGTAATCAGAGTACAAATGATGAGTAACTGTATTCAGTTACATTTACTGTTTCAGTGAGTGGTAATTGGATTACAGTTACTTTGTTGAAATAAATGGATTACAAAGAGGGATTTTCCTGTTTTCACATTTCGGGCTAAATCCTTTTTTGTTTCTTTTTTTTTTTTCCTTCGGTAATTCCACTCATTCCCAGAAACTAAACCAGGTCTAAAACCAGGTCTAAAACCAGGACTAAAACCAGGACTAAAACCAGGACTAAAACCAGGACTAAAAACAGGACTAAAAACAGGACTAAAAACAGGAGTAAATCCTGCTGTGTGGACGTGTCTCCTCTTCTTCTATCAATAATATTTTTAATTTGGTTCAGTAAAGTCTGGACTTTTTATTTTCTTTTATCAGATAAAACGTCTTATGTGAAGATTTCCTCGTCTTTGTTTCTCTACAGCAAATCAAGTAATCCAAAGTAATCAGATTACATTTCTCACTTTAAATAATTTAATGGATTCTGTTATAAACTACATTTTGGTGTGTGTAATCTGTAATCTGTAGGGGATTACATTTGAAAAGTAAACTTCCCAACACTGACTACAAAGTCACACTGCTGTACGGTCTGTGTGTACGACCTGCAGATTTAGGATCCATCTCCAACACGACAGAAACACAGAACAGACTCACCATCAGCAGAACACCCCTCTGTCGCAGAGAGAACACCCCTCTGTCGCAGCACTAATCTGCATCAATAAATTCACTTTACGACATATAAACATAACGACTCTAGAGCCACATCAGCTGTTTGACATTATAATGTGTTTAATTCAGTTTTGTTCAAATCTCACAGAAACAAAACTTAAAACCACATCACTAATTTACATAAACTAAGTGAAGATAAAACTCCAGCTCTTGTGTCGCTGATGTGGTTCAACTTGTGTTGGATTAAAAGACATGACTCAGGTGAATACAGGTCAGTGTGACCAGATTTGTGTTTGTCAAAACCAGGACAGCGTACGGGGGGAGGGGGGGCGGGGCCTCGTCATCCACATTGAGCGACTCTCACCTGGAAAAACTTTTTCCCACTGGACACAGAAACATATGTGCTGCTTTATCCACTGTGCACATGGACTCACACTTGTCCCAACGCAACGGAAAGTGTGGAATTTCTTGTCCAAATCCTGGTTAAATCCACATTTGTGCTTCGGTTCGTTACAGACTGACCCACTGTTTGTGTCTCGCTCCTTCTGATGCAGAGACACATGTACACACCTGTTTGGTCACGACACACAAACATACATTCAGTTTGTCCATTAAAATGAACGGAATCCATGAAATTCTTAATGATCAATTATCGCTTAATCGATTAAATCTCAGTCCCGGTCCCGGTCTGCTTCTTGTCTGGTCCCGGACCTGTTTTAGTCCTGGTTCAGTCCGTTATCCATTTTTTCAATTTTTCATTTCAACACAAAATCGAAAGCTGAAAAAAAAACAAAAACGAATCATTATCTGTTTTTTTAAATTTTGGTTTTGGAGACAAATAATGAAAAAAAAATTTTTTTTTTGTTGTTTTTTTTTTTTTTCATTTTCATATTTTTGGTTTTATTTTGAAAAACAAATGAACGAATGATTAAAAAAAATTATAATAAAATGCAAACATGAACTCATTTTAGACCAAACATGTTACGACGTTCTGTCTTTTGTAGAGCGGAACAGACACGCACAAAAACATAATAAATATAATTCTCTAATAATTCTTTTCTTTTTTCTCTTTTCTTTTTTCTCTTTTCTTTTCTCTCAGGGAAAGCCGTACATGTTCGACAGGGTTTTCCAGTCCAGCACCACACAGGAGCAGGTGTACAACGCCTGCGCCCAGAAGATCGTCAAAGGTACTTCTACTTCTACTACTACTGCTACTTCTACTTCTACTACTACTACTACTACTGCTTCTTCTACTTTTACTTCTTCTACTTCTACTACTTCTACTCCTCCTGCTTCTTCTACTTCTACTACTACTACTTCTTCTACTTCTACTTGTACTTCTACTACTCCTCCTGCTTCTTCTACTTCTACTTCTTTAACTTCTACTACTTCTACTTCTTCTACTTCTACTACTTCTACTTCTACTCCTCCTGCTTCTTCTACTTCTACTTGTATTACTTCTACTTGTACTACTTCTACTTGTATTACTACTTCTCCCCCTGCTTCTTCTACGTCTACTTGTACTTGTACTACTTCTACTTGTATTACTTTTACTCCTCCTGCTTCTTCTACTTCTACTTCTACTCCTCCTGCTTCTTCTACTTCTACTTGTATTACTTCTACTTCTACTACTTCTACTTGTATTACTACTTCTCCTCCTGCTTCTTCTACTTCTACTTGTACTACTTCTACTTGTATTACTTTTACTCCTCCTGCTTATTCTACTTCTACTACTTCTACTCCTCCTGCTTCTTCTACTTCTACTTGTATTACTTCTACTTGTACTACTTCTACTTGTATTACTTCTACTCCTCCTGCTTCTTCTACTTCTACTTGTATTCTACTCCTCCTGCTTCTTCTACTTCTACTTGTACTACTTCTACTTGTATTACTTCTGCTCCTCCTGCTTCTTCTACTTCTACTTCTACTTGTACTACTTCTACTTGTATTACTACTTCTACTCCTCCTGCTTCTTCTACTTGTACTTGTACTACTTCTACTTGTATTACTTCTGCTCCTCCTGCTACTTCTACTTCTCCTTCTACTTCTACTTGTACTACTTCTACTTGTATTACTTCTACTCCTTCTGCTTCTTCTACTTGTACTTCTACTTGTACTACTTCTACTTGTATTACTTCTACTCCTCCTGCTTCTTCTACTTGTACTTCTACTTGTACTACTTCTACTTGTATTACTTCTACTCCTCCTGCTTCTTCTACTTGTACTTCTACTTGTACTACTTCTACTTGTATTACTTCTACTCCTCCTGCTTCTTCTACTTGTATTACTTGTACTACTTCTACTTGTATTACTACTTCTACTCCTCCTGCTTCTTCTACTTGTACTTCTACTTGTACTACTTCTACTTGTATTACTTCTGCTCCTCCTGCTCCTTCTCCCACGTCCTCCTCTCGAGTGTGGAGGTCGCGGGTTCGACTCCTGACGTTCCTGTCGCGTTGCAGATGTGCTCGAGGGATACAACGGGACCATCTTCGCGTACGGCCAGACGTCCTCGGGAAAAACCCACACGATGGAGGTGAGGCTCGCGTTTGGCCGCGGTGGGTTTGCGCCCCCTGCTGGCGCCGTTTCGCTCTTTGTGTCGGACCCGTTTAGACCCGATTTGGTCTCGGTTTAGTCCAGATTTAGCCGCGAACGACAGGAGGATTTATCCGATTTTGGCTGCGTTTTTCTGTTACAAACTACATTTTGGGGGATGTAATCTGTAATCTGTAAGGGACAGTGTTGGGGAAATTATTTTTAAAATGTATTCCCCTACAGATTACAGATTACATATCCCAAAATGTAGTTTGTAACGTAATCCATTAAATTATTTAAAGTGAGTAATGTAATCTGATTACTTTGGATTACTTGATTTGCTGTAGAGAAACAAAGACGAGGAAATCTGCACATAAGAAGTCAGAGTCTTTACTGAACCAAATTAAAAATATTATTGATAGAAGACGAGGAGACATGGTCCGAGCGGCATGGTTTAGACCTGGTTTAGACCTGGTTTAGACCTGGTTTAGTCCTGGTTTAGTCCTGGTTTAGTCCTGGTTTAGACCTGGTTTAGACCTGGTTTTAGGACCTGGTTTAGTCCTGGTTTAGACCTGGTTTAGACCTGGTTTAGACCTGGTTTAGTCCTGGTTCAGACCTGGTTTAGACCTGGTTTTAAACCTGGTTTAGTCCTGGTTTAGACCTGGTTTAGTCCTGGTTTAGTCCTGGTTTAGACCTGGTTTAGACCTGGTTTTAGACCTGGTTTTAGACCTGGTTTTAGACCTGGTTTTAGACCTGGTTTAGACCTGGTTTAGACCTGGTTTAGACCTGGTTTAGACCTGGTTCAGACCTGGTTTAGACCTGGTTTTAGACCTGGTTTAGACCTGGTTTTAGACCTGGTTTAGACCTGGTTTTAGACCTGGTTTAGACCTGGTTTAGACCTGGTTTAGACCTGGTTTAGACCTGGTTTTAGACCTGGTTTAGACCTGGTTTAGACCTGGTTTAGACCTGGTTTTAGACCTGGTTTAGACCTGGTTTAGACCTGGTTTAGACCTGGTTTAGCCCAAAATGTGAAAACAAGAAAATCCCGCTGTGTAATCCATTTATTTCAACAAAGTAACTGTAATCCAATTACCACTCACTGAAACAGTAACTGTAACTGAATACAGTTACTCATCATTTGTACTCTGATTACTCTGGTACATGTAATCTGTTACTCCTCAACACTGGTCACAGACTTCAGTTAAATATATGTTTGGTTAATCTTGTGTCTCGCATTAACCAACCTGTTCCATAACCAGTGTTGGGGAGTAACAGATTACAAGTACCGGAGTAATCGGAGTACAAATGATGAGTAACTGTATTCAGTTACATTTGCTGTTTTAGTGAGTGGTAATTGGATTACAGTTACTTTGTTGAAATAAATGGATTACACAGAGGGATTTTACTGTTTTCACATTTTGTGCCAAACTCCCCCTTTTTTTTTTTTTTTCACCCCCCACAGTAATTCCACTCACTGTCGGACACTAAACCAGGTCTAAACTAGATCTAAACCAGGACTAAACCAGGTCTAAACTAGATCTAAACTAGATCTAAACCAGGACTAAACCAGGTCTAAACTAGATCTAAACTAGATCTAAACCAGGACTAAACCAGATCTAAACTAGATCTAAACCAGGACTAAACCAGGTCTAAAGTAGATCTAAACTAGATCTAAACCAGGTCTAAACCAGGTCTAAACCAGGTCTAAACCAGGTCTAAACCAGGTCTAAACCAGAACTAAAACCAGGTCTAAACCAGGTCTAAATCCTGTTGTGTGGAGCGTGTTTCCTCGTCTTCTATCAATAATATTTTTAATCTAGTTAAATAAAGTCTGGTCTTTTTATTTTCTTTTAGCAGATAAAACATCTTTTGTTATGATGTCCTCGTCTTTCAAGTCAATAATCCAAGTAATCCAAAGTATTCAGATTACATTACTCACTTTATGTAATTTAATGGATTCTGTTACAAACTACATTTTGGTGTGTGTAATCTGTAATCTGTAGGGGATTACATTTTAAAAGTAAACTTCCCAGCACTGTCCATAACCGCCCCGTATCACAAATGTGTCGCTTCATTCTAGTCTTCATGTCGTTTTACTGGACAGGTTATCTCAAAATAAAGTATCTTGCTGCATGGACAGATCATTTCACTACTTTAAATGCATTTTCTGATAGATTTAATCAGATTCAGATTCAGAAAACTTTATTGATCCCATAAGGCAATTCATTTGCAGCATCTCCGAGCAAAACACAAACACAAACAAACACACAGTGAGTCAGTCCAATTGTCGTCCACCAGTGGAACTCAAAATAAATAACACATTGCAGTGTAAAACTTTCATAAAACTATCATAAAACTGTACCCTTAGAATTTAATAACTTAATAGCACAGGGCACGAAAGAATTAGAAAACCGGTTGGTTTTCCGTAATTGGAGCATAAAACCGACGCCCTGAAGGCATCAGGATAAAATCAGGAGCCAGAGGATGGAGCGACTGAGCCACGAGACACTTGGCTTTGCTCAGCACCTGCTCCTCCCACAGAGAACTCAGCTCCCTCAGTTTGATCCCTGTGATTTTTGAGCAGGTTTTAACAATATTCTGAAGTTTGTTTCTATCCTTCACAGTCAAGGATTCAAACCAGCAAATAAAAGAAAAAATAAGAAGACTTTCGATAAAAGAGCAATAAAAATTGTTAAGAATCATTTTGTTCACGTTAAGAGTTCAGTTTCCTCAACAGATATTCTTTGCTGCCCTCGTTTGACGACGCTTTCAGTGTTTAGGTCAAATTTCAGTTTATTGTCCATCACGGTGCCCAGATATTTGTAACTATCAACTATTTCAACATCATCACCGTGGGCGACACGTGACACTGTGGGAAGGTGCACGTCTAAAATCAATCACCACGTCCTTAGTTTTGGCAACGTTCAAATCCAGGTAGTCAGTCCAGCAGTTAAGTGTTTAGATCTTAAATTTTGACCAAGTGGACGACTGAGGGATCACACAGACTGGGAGATCACAGCTCAGACGTGTCCTTGTTTTTCAGGGGAACCTTCACGACACGGACTCCATGGGCATAATCCCGAGAATCGTCCAGGACATCTTCAATTACATCTACTCCATGGACGAGAACCTGGAGTTTCACATCAAGGTCCGAAACTTCTCCATTTCACGTTTGCGTTCTGAAGAAAAGACGTCAGGGGAAAAAAAAAAAATTATTCAAAGTTTCTTAAACCGCTGCGTTTTTCTGTTTGGCAGGTGTCGTATTTTGAAATTTATTTGGACAAGATCCGAGACCTTCTGGACGGTGAGTGGTGCTTCGGTTTTTAACACGTCCTCCAGAAGTGCCTGTGACAGATTTTTATCATTCTCTAATTTTATAACTATTGTAAATATAAATTATGACTTTACAGCAGTCGTGAAGCAATTTATGAAGAAAAGTTGAAAATTTGTTGAAAATGACAGAAAATAGAGAGTTGTAAGCGTGACAGACGTACCCACGACTTCACATTGGGACGATTCTATAAAAAAGAAGTTCAGCACGACATCCAAAACCACTTTTTTCTGATACTTTTACACATATATTTAAATATAATTGCTTTATTTTATTTGTCAGATAATAATTTCTCTGTACGTTAGAGGAGTTTTGCTGGGTAACAGTAAAAATTTAAAACTAAAAAGTGTCCAAATTGGGAAAATAAGTGTGAATGTTCTTGCAAGAATCTTAAAAATAATAATCTTAACTCTGTTTTAGTGAAATGAGTCTGTCACAGGTGCTGTAGAGTTCTGAGTTCTGAACACGCCTTCATGTGGTCAGGTCAGGGTTTGGGTTAAAGTTGGTTTATTCTTCACATTCTCATAATGTTTGACACCAAAACAAAAATCCAGTTTGTAAAATCGTTTATCTTTTGTTTGGGTAAAATTGACCTGGGTTTTGTTCACAGACACAGAAAAAACTGAGTTTCTCCTGATAAATTTAAGACTGAGTAGCTCTTTGTACAGCCCAACGAGCTGTTCTCTAGGTCTGTGTCTTAATGGGAAACACTACATTTATGTCTGGGGAAAGATATTCTCTTTAAAGAAAATGTTATACTACACAACCTTACATTCCATTAGATTACACTGGGTCACATTAGATCACATTAAATTATATTAGATCATATTGAATCACATTACATCACATTACGTCACATTTAGATCACATTACATTAGATCATATTACATCACATTTAGATCACGTTACGTCACATTTAGATCACGTTACGTCACATTTAGATCACGTTACGTCACATTTAGATCACGTTACATCACATTTAGATCACGTTACGTCACATTTAGATCAGGTTACGTCACATTTAGATCACGTTACGTCACATTTAGATCACGTTACGTCACATTTAGATCACGTTACGTCACATTTAGATCAGGTTACGTCACATTTAGATCAGGTTACGTCACATTTACATCAGGTTACATCACATTTACATCAGGTTACATCACATTTAGATCACGTTACATCACATTCAGATCACGTTACATCACGTTACATCACATTTAGATCACGTTACATCACATTTAGATCACATTGCATCACATTTAGATCACGTTACATCACATTTAGATCACGTTACATCACATTTAGATCACGTTACATCACATTTAGATTACATTTAGATCACGTTACCTCACGTTACATCATATTTAGATCACGTTACATTGCACATTTAGATCACGTTACATCACATTTAGATCACGTTACATCACATTTAGATCACGTTACATCACATTTAGATCACGTTACATCACATTTAGATCACGTTACATCACATTTAGATCACGTTACATCACATTTAGATCCTGTGGGTCATGCGGAGTCTCTGAGCTGCTGTCTTCTTCTGTTCCAGTGTCCAAAACAAACCTGTCTGTTCACGAGGACAAGAACCGCGTCCCCTACGTCAAGGTGAGACTCTGGAGTCACACGAACCTGCCTAGTCCTGGTCTAGTCCTGGTCTAGTCCTGGTCTAGTCCTGGTCTAGTTCTGGTCTAGTCCTGGTCTAGTCCTGGTCTAGTTCTGGTCCAGTCTTGGTTCTAAAGGTGGTTCTGTTTCAGGGATGCACTGAGCGTTTCGTGTGCAGCCCAGATGAGGTCATGGACACCATCGACGAGGGGAAGTCCAACCGCCACGTCGCCGTCACAAGTAAGACAAGAAAAGATTTAAAAAAGAGCAAAAAGGTGGAGAAGGTCTGAGGAGCGGCGGAGAGGATCAGATGAGAAGAGGAGAAGGTCTGAGGAGGTCAGGAGAAGGTCAGAGAAGAAGAGGAGCAGGTCTGAGGAGCAGGTCAGAAGATCAGAGGAGAAGGTCAGAGGAGAAGGTCAGAGGAGAAGGTCAGAGGAGAAGGTCAGAGAAGAAGAGGAGCAGGTCTGAGGAGCAGGTCAGAAGGTCAGAGGAGAAGGTCAGAGGAGAAAGGTCAGAGGAGAAGGTCAGAGGAGCAGGTCTGAGGAGAAGATGGAGCGGGAAGGTCTGAGGAGAAGGTCTGAGGAGAAGGTCAGAGAAGAAGAGGAGCAGGTCAGAGTCAGAGGAGAGGTCAGAGAGAGGTCAGAAGATCAGAGGAGAAGGTCAGAGGAGAAGATGGAGCAGGTCAGAGGAGAGGTCAGAAGGTCAGAGGAGAAGGTCAGAGGAGAAGGTCAGAGGAGAAGGTCTGAGGAAGGTCAGAGAAGGTCAGAGGAGAAGAGAGGCAGGTCAGAGGAGGAAGAGGGAGCAGGTCAGGAGAGCAGGTCAGAGGAGCAGGTCAGAGGAGAAGGTCAGAGGGGAAGGTCAGAGGAGAAGGTCTGAGGAGAAGAGGAGCAGGTCTGAGGAGCAGGTCAGAAGGTCAGAGGAGAAGATGGAGCAGGTCAGAGGAGAAGATGGAGCAGGTCAGAGGAGAAGGTCAGAGGAGCAGGTCAGAGGAGAAGGTCAGAGGAGCAGGTCAGAGGGGAAGGTCAGGAGAAGGTCAGAGGAGAAGAGGAGAAGGTCAGAGGAGAAGATGGAGCGGAGGAGAGGGTCAGATGTTGATGTTCCTGATGTTCCTGATGTTGTTCCTGATGTTGTTCCTCAGACATGAACGAGCACAGTTCCAGGAGCCACAGTATTTTCCTGATAAACGTCAAACAGGAAAACACTCAGACAGAACAGAAGCTCAGCGGGAAGCTCTACCTGGTGGACTTGGCCGGCAGCGAGAAGGTACGTCAGATGCCCTCCCAGTGTCTCCACGGGATGTTATTCTGTGTAAAAGCTGCTCACCCTTGTAGTTTAGAGATTTAGACGTCTACAAACATGTTCTGTTCTGAAATGTGTGAGATTTTGGATCCAGCGGTCGAGTTTAAGCAGGAAATGGAAGCAGTTTTTAGAAGTTTTGGTAAAATGACTTCAGTTTGGCGACTGGGAGGAAGCAGCGACGTGAGCGTAGAAGAAAGTTGTGGCAAAGGGGCGAGGAAAAGCAGGGGATGATATTAACAATAACCGAAATCTGGTGATATCGTATCATCAAAGTTCTCGCAATAATATCGTGGACCATCACAATATATGGAATCACAAGTGTCTTTGTTTAAATGAAGAGTTAAAAACACAGAGGAACTACATAGACCATGATCCTTTGATCCATTTCAGCGCCGACGACAAGAAGAAATAACAGTTCTAACACTTTTAACTCTTAGTTCTTTGGATTAAGATTAGGAGGAAAAAGTAGAATATTAACAGTTTTTTTAGCCTCCACAAAATATTGCAAACATCGTACCGCGAGGTTCATACGTGACGATATCGTATCGTGAGACTTGGGTCACGTTTAGACAGAAACTTATCACCGTAGTGGAAACGATTTGTGTCCAGACACGTCGTTTGTGTCCGAGAGTTTTCTCTACTCGAGCTCCTACATCAGAGTATCAGAGTTTTCAGGAGTCACACAGTCCCCATCACATCTGGACCAACATACACACTAGTGTGAACCAACACTGTACACACAACAACACCACTCACATACACACTAGTGTGAACGGGGTCTTGGATATCATTACACCCCTAAAAAAAAAAAAAACACATATATATATATATATATATATATATATATATATATTTTTTTTTGATTCACCTGACTTGCCTGTGTGTAATCAGTACCAGCCCGTTTACTCACTCGGAAAATTCCAGAACGTTAAAACCTGCTCATTTCAGCAACTATCTGTGGGTACCCGACCCGGTGCTGGACTCTGACCCTGTTCTTGTGACTCTGTTCTTTTGTTTTTTTCTGACCCTTTTTTTTCTGACCCTGTTGTTCAGTTTTTTTCTGACCCTGTTGTTTTCTTTTCTGACCCTGTGGTTCTGTTCTTTCTGGTTGTGTTCAGGTGAGTAAAACCGGAGCAGAAGGAGCCGTCCTGGACGAGGCCAAAAACATCAACAAGTCTCTGTCGTCTCTGGGGAACGTCATCTCCGCTCTGGCCGAAGGAACCGTGAGTTTCACTTTTATGATTTACTGGTTCTGGCCCTGGTCCGGTCCTGGTCCGGTTCCTGGTCCGGTCCTGGTTCTGTGTAGGTTTTCTGTGGCGTCAGGTCGGACCCTGCGGAGTCTCTTTTATAATTTCATGCTCTGACAGTTGAACAGAGTCGAGGTTTGTTCCTCGGACTCGGGCTCCGGGCCTCAGGTTCACCACAAGAACAAAGATCAGCTGTTTGACGCTCAGACCTCACAGTCCTGGTTTAGTCCTGGTTTAGTCCTGACTGAAGAACAAAGATCAGCTGTTTGACTCTCACAGCGCCGAAGATCCACACTCCGAGACCGGAAAGAGGTCGAAACAGGATTTAATCTGCACGAACACTTTAGCGAATCAGGACCAAACCGGACTAAACCTGGAATAAAGTCAGATTAGACCAGATCTGGACCAGGACCACAGACTGTATATCTGACTGGAGTCATCGAGTTCCTAGTTTAGTCCCTGGTTTAGTCCCTGGTTTAGACCTGGTTTAGTCTCTGGTTTAGTCCTGGTTTAGTCCTGGTTTAGTCCCTGGTTTAGTCCTGGTTTAGTCCCTGGTTTAGTCCTCGTTTAGTCTCTGGTTTAGTCCTGGTTTAGTCCTCGTTCAGTCCTAGTTTAATTCTGGTTTAGTCCTTGTTTTAGTCCTGGTTTAGTCCTCTGGTTTAGTCCTGTTTTTTTGTTTTGTTTTGGTGTCATTATGAGACTGTGAAGAATAAACCTGAACCGTGACCTGGACCGAGACGAGTCCGGACCTGGACCTTTCATTTCCTCTCAGCTTTAAACTATAATCTGCTTTTACATAAACACACTGATATTTTGTCCTTTTTTTCCGCATAAATATCTTTTTTTTTGTCTTTAGTCCTCGTGATTCATAGTATTTATTTGTTTATTGATTGATTTGTTTGGATTCGTGTGTAAAAGTTTGTGTTGTGTTTTGGTTCTCGTCAGGCGTACATCCCGTACAGAGACAGTAAAATGACGCGGATCCTGCAGGACTCTCTGGGGGGAAACTGTCGCACCACCATCGTGATCTGCTGCTCGCCGTCCTCCTACAACGAGGCCGAGACCAAGTCCACGCTCATGTTCGGACAGAGGTCAGTGACACGACCGGGAGGGAGGAAGGGGGTTTCGGACTCTCCATCGGGGGGCGGGTGTGGGGGACGGGTGTGGGGGGCAGGTGTAGGAGACTGGGGGACAGGTGTAGGAGACTGGGGGACAGGTTATAGGGGTCGGGGCGTGTGGGACGGGTGTAGGAGACTGGGGGACGGGTGTAGGGGGGGGGGGTGTAGGGGACGGGTGTAGGGGACGGGTGTAGGAGATTGGGGGACAGGTGTAGGGGGCGGGTGTAGGAGACTGGGGGACAGGTGTAGGGGGTGGGTGTGGGACGGGTGTAGGAGACTGGGGGACGGGTGTAGAGGGCAGGTGTAGGGGACGGTGTAGGAGACTAGGGGGCGGGTGTAGGAGACTGGGGGGGTGTAGGGGGCGGGTGTAGGAGACTGGGGGACAGGTGTAGGAGACTGGGGACAGGTGTAGGAGACTGGGGGACAGGTGTAGGGGGCGGGTGTAGGAGGACTGGGGGACAGGTGTAGGGGGCGGGTGTGGGGACGGGTGTAGGAGAGGGGACTGGGACGGGTGTGGGAGACAGTGTAGGGGACGGGTGTAGGAGACTGGGGGACGGGTGTAGGGGGCGGTGTAGGAGACTGGGGGACAGGTGTAGGGGGCGGGTGTAGGGACGGGGACAGGTGTAGGGGACGGGTGTAGGAGAGTGGGGACAGGTGTAGGGGACGGGTGTAGGAGACTGGGGGACAGGTATAGGAGACGGGGGACAGGTGTAGGGGACTGGGGGACAGGTGTAGGAGACTGGGGGACAGGTGTAGGAGACTGGGGACGGGTGTAGGAGACTAGGAGGGGACGGGTGTAGGAGACTGGGGACAGGTGTACGGGGCGGGTGTAGGGACGGGGGACAGTGTAGGGGGCGGGGTGTAGGGGGGACAGGTGGGGGACGGTGTGGAGAGGGGGCGGGTGTAGGAGACTGGGGGACAGGTTGAGGGGCGGGTGTAGGAGACTGGGGACAGGTGTAGGGGCGGGTGTAGGAGACTGGGGGACAGGTGTAGGGGACGGGTGTAGGAGACTGGGGGACAGGTATAGGAGACTGGGGGACAGGTGTGGAGTCTGGGGACAGGTGTAGGACTGGGGACAGGTGTGTAGGAGTCTGGGGGACAGGTGTAGGAGACTGGGGGACAGGGTGTAGGGACGGGTGTAGGAGACTGGGACGGTGTAGGGACTGGGGACGGGTTAGGGAGACAGTGGGGGACAGGTGTAGGAGACTGGGGGACAGGTGTAGGGGGACGGGTGTAGGAGACTGGGGGACGGGTGTTGGGATACAGGTGTAGGGACGGGTGTAGGAGACTGGGGACGGGTGTAGGAGACTGGGGACGGTGTAGGAGACTGGGGGACGGGTGTAGGAGACTGGGGGACGGGTGTAGGAGACTGGGGACAGGTGTAGGGGCGGGTGTAGGAGACTGGGGACAGGTGTAGGGGGCGGGTGTAGGAGACTGGGGGACAGGTGTAGGGACGGGTGTAGGAGAGTGGGGGACAGGTGTAGGGGACGGGTGTAGGAGACTGGGGACAGGTAGGAGACTGGGGGACAGGTGTAGGAGTCTGGGGGACAGGTGTTAAGAGACTGGGGACAGGTGTAAGGAGACTGGGGGACAGGTGTAGGAGTCTGGGGACAGGTGTAGGGGACGGGTGTAGGGACGGGACGGGTGTAGGAGACTGGGGGACGGGTGTAGGAGACTGGGGGACGGGTGTAGGAGACTGGGGGACAGGTATAGGGGGCGGATGTAGGTCCTGGTTTTAGTCCTGGTTTTAGTCCTGGTTTTGTGTGGTTTCGTTCAGGGCGAAGACGATCAAGAACACGGTGACGGTGAACATCGAGCTGACGGCCGAGCAGTGGAAACAGAAATACGAGAGAGAAAAAGAGAAGAACAAAACTCTGAGGAACACCATCACCTGGCTGGAGAACGAGCTCAACCGCTGGAGGAACGGTGAGGCAGGACCGGACCCAGAGACGGACCCAGAGACTGACCCAGGGACCGGACCCAGAGACGGACCCAGAGAGCCTAGAGACCCAGACCGGACCCAGAGACGGACCAAGAGCCTAGAGACCCAGAGACCCAGACCCAGGACGTGGACCAAGGACCCAGAGACCTAGACCGGACCAAGACCCAGAGACCAAGACCCAGAGACCAAGACCCAGAGACCAAGACCCAGAGACCAAGACCCAGAGACCAAGACCCAGAGACCAAGACCCAGGACCTAGAAACCTAGACCAGACCCAGGACTGGACCAAGGACCTAGAAACCTAGACCAGGACCCAGGACTGGACCAAGGACCTAGACCAGACCCAGAGACCAAGACCAAGAGAACCAGACCCAGGACTGAACCAAGGACCTAGAAACCTAGACCAACCCAGGACCTAGACCCAGACCCAGGACTGGACCAAGGACCTAGACCAGACCCAGAGACCCAGACCCAGACTCGTGACTTGTGTGTGCTGCGTCCTCAGGGGAGAGCGTTCCTCTGGAGGAGCAGTTCGATAAAGAAAAGGCCAAAGAGGAGGTTCTGGCTCTGGACAACATCATGAACGAGAAGGCGGCGTCCACCCCCAACATGCCCGGAGTTCGACTCACCTGACGTCGAGAAGGACAAGTGTGAGGCCGAGCTCGCCAAACTCTACAAGCAGCTCGACGACAAGGTCACACTCACGGGGAAACGGGAAAAACGGGGAAAACGGGGAAATGGAAAAACGGGCTAATGTGCTAACGGGCTAACATGCTAACGGGAAAACGGGCTAACATGCTAACTGGAAAAACGGGCTAATATGCTAACGGGAAAAACGGCTAACATGCTAACGGGAAAAACGGGCTAACATGCTAACTGGAAAAACGGGCTAACATGCTAACGGGAAAAACGAGCTAACATGCTAACGGGAAAAACGGGCTAACATGCTAACGGGAAAAACGAGCTAACACGCTAATGGGGAAACGGGCTAACGAGCTAACATGCTAACAGGAAAAAACGGGCTAACATGCTAACGGTAAAACGGGCTAACATGCTAACGGGCTAACATGCTGACGGGAAAAACGGGCTAACGGGCTAATGCTAACCTGTGTTGCTGTGTCCAGGACGAGGAGATAAACCAGCAGAGCCAACTCGCAGAGAAACTGAAACAACAGATGTTGGACCAGGAGGAGGTGAGAGCTACACTGCCCCTTACACACTTCACACGGGACGCTTCACACGAGACGCTTCACATAGACACTATTCACATGAGACACTTCACACGAGATGCTTCACACGAGATACTTCACAAAAACTGTAGTCACTTTAGACAAGACTATTCACATAGACACTGTTCACATGAGACGCTTCACATAGACACTGTTCACATGAGACGCTTCACATAGACACTGTTCACACGAGACACTTCATAGACACTATTCACATGAGACACTATTCACATAGACACTGTTCACACGAGACACTTCACATAAACACTGTTCACACGAGACACTTCACATAGACACTGTTCACATGAGACACTTCACATAGACACTATTCACATGAGACACTTCACATAGACACTGTTCACATGAGACACTTCACATAGACACTGTTCACATGAGACACTTCACATAGACACTGTTCACATGAGACACTTCACATAGACACTGTTCACATGAGACACTTCACATAGACACTGTTCACATGAGACACTTCACATAGACACTGTTCACATGAGACACTTCACATAGACACTGTTCACATGAGACACTTCACATAGACACTGTTCACATGAGACGCTTCACACAGGACACTTCACATAGACACACTTCCCACGAGACGCTTCCCACGAGATGCTTCACATAGACACTCTTCACACGAGACTCTTCATGCGGGACACTTCACATAGACACTCTTCACGCGAGACACTTCACACGAGACGCTTCACACGAGACGCTTCACACGAGACACTTCACATGGGACACTCTTCACATGAGATGCTTCAGATGAGAGATTTCACACGAGACTCTTCACATAGACACTCTTCACATGAGATGCTTCACACGGGACACTTCACATAGACACTCTTCACACGAGACTCTTCACACGAGACTCTTCACACGAAACTCTTCACATAGAGACTCTTCACACGAGACTCTTCACACGAGACTCTTCACACGAGACTCTTCACAAGACTCTTCACACGACTCTTCACAGGAGACTCTTCACACGAGACTCTTCACACGACTCTTCACACGAGACTCTTCACATAGAGACTCTTCACACGAGACTCTTCACACACGAGACTCTTCACACTCTTCACACGAGACTCTTCACACGAGACTCTTCACATAGAGACTCTTCACACGAGACTCTTCACGAGACTCTTCACACTCTTCACACGAACTCACACGAGACTTCACACAGACACTCTTCACAGACTCTTCACACGAGACTCTTCACGAGACTCTTTCACATAGAGACTCTTCACATAGAGACTCTTCACATAGAGATCTTCACATAGAGACTCTTCACAGACTCTTCACATGAGACTCTTCACACGAGACTCTTCACACGAGACTCTTCACACGAGACTCTTCACACGAGACTCTTCACATAGAGACTCTTCACACGAGACTCTTCACAGAGACTCTCAGACTCACACTTCACACGAGACTCTTCACACGAGATCTTCACACGAGACTCTTCACACGAGACTCTTCACATGAGACTCTTCACACGACTCTTCACAGGAGACTCTTCACACGAGACTCTTCACACGAGACTCTTCACACGAGACTCTTCACACAGACACTCTTCACACAGACACTCTTCACACGAGACTCTTCACATAGAGACTCTTCACATAGAGACTCTTCACAGAGAGACTCTTCACATAGAGACTCTTCACACGAGACTCTTCACACGAGACTCTTCACATAGAGACTCTTCACATAGAGACTCTTCACATAGAGACTCTTCACACGAGACTCTTCACATAGAGACTCTTCACATAGAGACTCTTCACACGAGACTCTTCACACGAGACTCTTCACATAGAGACTCTTCACACGAGACTCTTCACACGAGACTCTTCACACGAGACTCTTCACACGAGACTCTTCACACGAGACTCTTCACACGTCCTCTCTCTTGAACATCTCCCGTCTGTTGGGCAGCTGCTGGCGTCTTCGCGCAGGGACCACGAGAACCTCCAGGCCGAGCTGAACCGTCTGCAGGCCGAGAACGAGGCGTCCAAGGAGGAGGTGAAGGAAGTTCTCCAGGCTCTGGAGGAACTCGCCGTCAACTACGACCAGAAGAGCCAAGAGGTGGAGGACAAGACCAAAGAGTTTGAGCTGATCAGCGAGGAGCTCAGCCAGAAGTCTGTGAGTACTACTAATACTACTACTACTACTGCAAATGCTACAAATACTACTACTACTGCTGGTCAGTGAGGAGCTCAGCCAGAAGTCTGTGAGTACTACTAATACTACTACTACTACTGCAAATGCTACAAATACTACTACTACTGCTGGTCAGTGAGGAGCTCAGCCAGAAGTCTGTGAGTACTACTAATACTACTACTACTACTGCAAATACTACTACTACTACTACTACTGCTGATCAGTGAGGAGCTCAGCCAGAAGTCTGTGAGTACTACTAATACTACTACTACTACTACTACTGCAAATACTCTACTACTACTACTACTGCTGATCAGTGAGGAGCTCAGCCAGAAGTCTGTGAGTACTACTAATACTACTACTACTATTACTGCAAATACTACTACTACTACTACTGCTGATCAGTGAGGAGCTCAGCCAGAAGTCTGTGAGTACTACTAATACTACTACTACTACTGCAAATACTACTACTACTACTACTGCTGATCAGTGAGGAGCTCAGCCAGAAGTCTGTGAGTACTACTAATACGACTACTACTACTGCAAATACTACTACTACTACTACTACTGCTGATCAGTGAGGAGCTCAGCCAGAAGTCTGTGAGTACTACTAATACTACTACTACTACTGCAAATACTACTACTACTACTACTGCTGATCAGTGAGGAGCTCAGCCAGAAGTCTGTGAGTACTGCAAATACTACAAATACTACTACTACAAATACTACTACTACTAGTACTACTACTGATCAGTGAGGAGCTCAGCCAGAAGTCTGTGAGTACTACTACTTCTACTACTGCAAATACTACTACAAATACTACTACTGCAAATACTACTACAAATACTACTCCTGTGCAAGTACTACTTTTGCAAATACTACTAGTGATTAGCAGACAAGTTTATGAGTACTACTACTACTGTAAATACTGCAAATACTACTCCTACAAATACTACTACTATAAACGTTACTCCTACAAATACTACTCCTACTACTACAAATACTGCTCCTATTATTACAAATACTACTTCTGTGCAAATACTGTTTTTGCAAATACTACTGCTTTTACTACTATTGATCAGTGAGGTGCTCAGACAGAAGTTTGTGTGTACTACTACTACTACTACTGCAAATACTACTACTGCAAATACTAATACTACAAATACTCCTCCTCCTTGTCATTGTCATTGTCACTGTTCTGACCTCCTCGTTGTGTGTTTTTGTGTGTTTTTTGTGTGACCTGCTCACTGTTCTGACCTTCTCGTTGTATGTTTTTGTGTGGTTTTTTTGTGTTTTTGTGTGTTTTTGTGTGTTTTGTGTGTTTTTGTGTGACCTGCTCACTGTTCTGACCTTCTCGTTGTATGTTTTTGTGTGTTTTTTTGTTTTTGTGTGTTTTTGTGTTGTTTTTTTTTGTGTGACCTGCTCACTGTTTTGACCTTCTCGTTGTGTGTTTTTGTGTGTTTTTTGTGTGATTTTTGTGTGACCTGCTCACTGTTTTGACCTTCTCGTTGTGTGTTTTTTGTGTGTTTTTTGTGTGCGTTCAGTCCGTGTTGTCGTCTCTGGACTCGGAGCTGCAGAAGTTGAAGGAAATGTCCAACCACCAGAAGAAGAGAGTGACTGAGATGATGTCGTCTCTGCTCAAGGACCTGGCCGAGATCGGCATCGCGGTGGGCAGCAACGACATCAAGGTCTGCACCCGTCACTGTCACACCTGTCACCCTATCACCTGTCTGCACCTGTCACTGCTCCCCCTTTGCCTGTTTTTCCTGATCTCTGCTCTCATGTCGTTCCTCGTCACAAACAGACCCAGAGTTGTTTTCCGTGAGTCGTTCATTCGTTCTTTTTTCAAAATAAACCAAAAATAAGAAAATGAATAAACAACTTTTTTCTTTATAATTTGTTTCCAAAACTTAATTTTTTTCAGTTTTTGATTTTGTGTTTAAATGAATAAAGGAAAAAATGGATAACGACCATTTCCTGTTTACGTGACTTAAACTACGATGCTGGACTTTTGCACCGCGTATGGACTAAACCAGGACTAAACCAGGACTAAACCAGGACTAAACCTGGACTAAACCTGGAAACCTGGACTAAACCTGGACTAAACCTGGACTAAACCTGGACTAAACCTGGACTAAACCAGGACTAAACCATTTTCAGTTCTGGTCTGGTCCTGGTCTGGTTCCGGCCTCAGTCCCGGTCTCGATCACGGTCTAGTTCTGGCCTGGTCCCGGACCTGTTTTAGTCCCAGTCTAGTCCTGTTCAATCCATATGCAGTGCAAAAGTCCAGCATCGCAGTTTAAGTTTCAGAAATGGGAAACAGTTTTTATCTGTTTTCATTTTGGTTTTGGAGACAAATGATGAAGAAAATATATATATATATTTTTTTAGTTTTCTTATTTTTGGTTTTATTTTGAAAAACGATTGAACAAATGACACACGGATTTACGATGTTTTTTGTTTTTATTTTTATGTATAAACTCTATAAATCTGGCAATGACGCCCCCTTTGTCCCTGATTCTATCCCCTCACCTGCGCCCTCTGCCGGTGTGTCCTCAGCACGACGGGGGCAGCGGGCTGATAGACGAGGAGTTCACGGTGGCTCGTCTCTACATCAGTAAGATGAAGTCTGAGGTGAAGTCGATGGTGAAACGCTGCAAACAACTGGAGAGCTCCCAGTCCGAGAGCAACAAGAAGATGGACGAGAGCGACAAGGAGCTCGCCGCCTGCCAGCTGCGCATCTCACAGGTCTGTGTGTAGACCGGGTTTAAGACCGGGGTTTAAGACCGGGTTTAAGACCGGGGTTTAAGACCGGGTTTAAGACCGGGGTTAGACCGGGTTTAAGACCGGGGTTAGACCGGGGTTAGACCGGGTTTAAGACCGGGGTTTAAGACCGGGGTTTAAGACCGGGGTTTAAGACCGGGGTTAAGACCGGGGTTTAAGACCGGGGTTTAAGACCGGGGTTTAAGACCGGGGTTTAAGACCGGGTTTAAGACCGGGGTTTAAGACCGGGGTTTAAGACCGGGGTTTAAGACCGGGTTTAAGACCGGGGTTTAAGACCGGGATTAGACCGGGTTTAAGACCAGGGTTTAGACCGGGGTCAGACCTGCCAGCTGCGCATCTCACAGGTCTGTGTGTAGACCGGGGTTTAAGACCGGGGTTTAAGACCGGGGTTTAAGACCGGGGTTTAAGACCGGGGTTAAGACCGGGGTTTAAGACCGGGGTTTAAGATCGGGGTTTAAGATCGGGTTTAAGACCGGGGTTTAAGACCGGGTTTAAGACCGGGGTTTAAGACCGGGGTTTAAGAAAGGGTTTAAGACCGGGATTAGACCGGGTTTAAGACCAGGGTTTAGACCGGGGTCAGACCTGCCAGCTGCGCATCTCACAGGTCTGTGTGTAGACCGGGTTTAAGACCGGGTTTAAGACCGGGTTTAAGACCGGGTTTAAGACCAGGGTATAGACCGGGGTCAGACCTGCCAGCTGCGCATCTCACAGGTCTGTGCTCGGACCGGGTTTAAGACCGAGTGCAAGACCGAGTGCAAGACCGAGTGCAAGACCGAGTGCAAGACCGAGTGCAAGACCGAGTGCAAGACCGAGTGCAAGACCGGGGTTTAGACCTGCCAGCTCCACATCTCTCGGGTCTGTGTTTAGTCCCGGTTTAGTCCCGGGTTTAGTCCCGGTTTTAGTCCCGGTTCAGTCCCGGTTTTAGTCCCGGTTTAGTCCTGGTTCAGTCCTGGTTCAGTCCCGGTTTAGTCCCGGTTCAGTCCCGGTTCAGTCCCGGTTCAGTCCCGGTTCAGTCCCGGTTCAGTCCTGGTTCAGTCCGGGGTTTTAGTCCTGGTTTTAGTCCTGGTTTTAGTCCTGGTTTTAGTCCTGGTTTAGTCCTGGTTTAGTCCTGGTTTAGTCCTGGTTCTGACAGTGTTTTTGTGCAGCACGAGGCGAAGATCAAGTCCCTGACGGAGTATCTCCAGAACGTGGAGCAGAAGAAGCGTCAGCTGGAGGAGAGCGTGGACTCTCTGAACGAAGAGCTCGTCAAACTCAGCGCGCAGGGTAAAAACAAACACTTTAAACACTTTAAACACTCAGTGCACTGGGTAAAAACAAACAAACAAACACTTTAAACACTTTAAACACAAAACACTCAGCGCAGAGGGTAAAAATAAACACTTTAAATACTTTAAACACTTTAAAAACAGAGAGCTCAGGGTAAAAACAAACAAAAAAACACTTTAAATACAAAACACTCAGTGCTCAGGGTAAAAAACAAAAATCACTTTAAACATTTTAAACACTCAGCACGCAGGGTAAAAACAAATGAACACTTTAAACACTCAGCGTTTAGGGTAAAAACATTTCTATAAACATAAGTAACGTTAAACCGCAGCAGTGTGACCTCTGACCTTTGCTCTTCCACAGAGAAAGTTCACGCCATGGAGAAAGAAAACGAGATCCAGACAGCCAACGAAGTCAAGGTCTGTCCCCCCCTCGCGACGCCGCCGCGACGCCGCAATGCTTTAGCTTTAGCGTTAGAGTTAGCGTTAGCATTAGCCTGGATCTAAAGGGTTTTCTCAGAGCGGTTTTGTTTGTTAGCGTTAGCCTTAGCTCTGTTATGTGTGTTGTGTGTTATCTCTGTTGTGTTGTGTGCATTGTGTTGTGTTGTGTGTTGTGCGTTGTGTATCAGTTGCGTTGTGTATCAGTTGTGTTGTGTTGTGCGTTGTGTATCAGTTGTGTTGTGTTGTGCGTTGTGTATCAGTTGTTGTGTTGTGTTCAGGCGGCGGTGGGGAAGCAGATGTATGTGTTGTGTGTTGTGTTGTGCGTTGTGTATCAGTTGTGTATCAGTTGTGTTGTGGTGTTGTGTTGTGTTCAGGCGGCGGTGGAGAAGCAGATTTGTGTGTTGTGTTGTGCGTTGTGTATCAGTTGTGTTGTGTTCAGGCGGCGGTGGAGAAGCAGATGTTGTGTGTGTTGTGTGTTGTGTATCAGTTGTGTTGTTGTGTTGTGTTCAGGCGGCGGTGGAGCAGCAGATGTGTGTGTGTGTGTGTTGTGTTGTGCGTTGTGTATCAGTTGTGTTGTTGTGTTCAGGCGGCGGTGGAGCAGCAGATGTGTGTGTGTTGTGTGTTGTGTTGTGCGTTGTGTATCAGTTGTGTTGTGTTGTGTTGTTGTGTTCAGGCGGCGGTGGAGAAGCAGATTCATTCTCATCGTGAGGCTCATCAGAAACAGATCAGCAGCCTGAGAGACGAACTCGACCACAAAGAGAAACTCATCACAGAACTGCAGGAGTGAGTCTATACACACAACAACACACAACTACACACACAACTGTACACACAACTGTACACACAACTGTACACACAACTATACACACAACTATACACACAACTATACACACAACTATACACAACGACACAACCAACCACACGCAACTATACACACAACTGTACACACAACTACACACGACACATGACTACATGCGACTACACACAACGACACGCAGCTACACACACTACACGTGACTACACACACACTACACAAGATTACTTATGACTACATGCAACTACACACAAACTACATGCAACTACACACAAACTACATGCAACTACACACAAACTACACTCGACTACACACAAACTACACTCGACTACACACAAACTACACGCGTCTACACAGTTGTGTGTAGACACACACACACGACACGTGACTACACTCAGCTACACACACACAATGTTCAGACGTTGGTTCATTTTCAATCTTCTCACTAAAATAATTGTGTGCTTGTGTTTCAGTCTGAACCAGAAGATCATGCTGGAGCAGGAGCGACTGAGAGTGGAGCACGAGAAACTCAAGTCCACGGACCAAGAGAAGAGCCGCAAACTGCACGAGCTCACGTACGGCGTCTTTGTACTGTTAAAACACAAACACACAACTGCACGAGCTCACAGACGCCATCTTTGTACTGTTAAAACACAAATCTACAGATATATTTGTTAATTGGATTGGTGTTTGTGTCCAGGGTGATGCAGGACCGCCGGGAGCAGGCTCGGCAGGACCTCAAGGGCCTGGAGGAGACAGTGGTGAGTGTTGCAGACAGACCCTGGCCACCCCGGGGCAGACTGACGCTCTCATGGGGTGGTGTAGATTGTGCGTTTACGGCGTCTTCTCTGTTTTCAGGCCAAAGAGCTGCAGACTTTACACAACCTGAGGAAGCTGTTCGTGCAGGACCTGGCCACGCGTGTCAAGAAGGTCAGTCCAGAAAAAAAACTTTAGAGGAGGTCGTGTTGTTTGTTTGTTTTGTCTCAGGTAAATACATTATGATAAAACACGAGACTGATCATACTCGTCACTGGAACGAAACTGAGTCTCTGATCCGAGCACCAAGAGTTTTATGGATGAAAATGATCAGTGGTTCTAATTTGAACCTTTTAATTATTCTGTTATTTAGTTATTTATTTAGTCTGTGCCGGGCTGGAGTTTTACCCTGTGTGTGTGTGTTTACCTTGTTTGTCTCTGTGTGTTTACCACGTGTGTTTCTCTTTTTGAGTGTTTATATGCTTATGTGTCTCTGTGTGTGTGTTTATCTCGTGTCTGTGTTTGAGCGTTTTGTACATTTGTGTGTTTGTGTCTCTGTTTGTATGTTTACAACATGTTTGTTTGTGTGTGTCTGTTTGAATGTTTGTATGTTGTATGTTTGTGTGTTTACCTCGGGTCTGTCTCTGTCTTTGTGTCTGTGTATCTGCGTTTACCGTGTGTGTGTGTGTTTGTGCGTTCATCACGTTTGTGTGTGTTTGTGCGTTCACTGTGTGTGTGTGTGTTTGTGCGTGTGTGTTTGTGCGTTCACAGTGTGTGTTTGTGTGTTCACAGTGTGTGTGTGTGTGCGTTCACAGTGTGTGTTTGTGTGTTCACAGTTTGTGTTTGTGTGTTCACAGTGTGTGTTTGTTTGTGTGTTCACAGTGTGCGTGTGTGTTTGTGTGTGTGTTCACAGTTTGTGCTTGTGTGTTTTATGTAGAGTGCAGAGATGGACTCAGACGACACCGGGGGCAGTGCTGCGCAGAAACAGAAGATTTCTTTTCTGGAGAACAATCTGGAACAACTCACCAAGGTCCACAAACAGGTAACTCCCTCTGTCTGCACTGCACTTAAAGCCACACTCTGGAACTTTCCCGAGGCGCAGGAAACAGCAGGTTAAACCCGGAACATTCTCTGTGGAGGTAAGACACGTTTAATGTCAAACGGTGGAATATTACAGCCAGAGGAACATTTCAGTAAACACAACTTAAAAAAACACTGGATTTACTCTGATATTTAATTTATTTGTGTGTTTTCTGCGTGTGTGTGTTTTCTGCGTGTGTGTGTTTTCTGTGTGTGTGTGTGTGTTGTGTGTGTGTGTGTGTGTGTGTGTGCAGCTGGTGCGTGACAACGCGGACCTGCGCTGCGAGCTTCCGAAGCTGGAGAAGCGTCTGAGAGCGACGGCCGAGCGCGTCAAAGCTCTGGAGTCGGCGCTGAAGGAGGCGAAGGAGAACGCCGCTCGAGACCGCAAACGCTACCAACAGGAAGTGGACCGCATCAAGGAGGCCGTGCGCGCCAAGAACATGGCACGCCGAGGGCACAGCGCACAGATCGGTGAGGAGCACGAGGGGCAGGGGTCAAGGGTCAGAGGGTCAGAGGAGCAGAGAGTCAGAGCGAGATGAGGGCAGAGACTGAACACACAGATCTGAGGTTAGAGCAGAAAAAGGAGGAGCAGAGACAGAGATCTTGGACATGGGGATGGTTGTCCTCTGGTTGTCCTCTGTTCTCCTCTCGTTGTCCTCTGGTTCTCCTGTCCACGGTCCCGTTGTCTGTGTCTCACACGTGTCTCCGCGTCTCTGTCCTCACGTGTCTCACCCGTGTCTCACATGTGTCTCCGTCCTCACGTGTCTCACCCGTGTCTCACATGTGTCTCCGTCCTCACGTGTCTTACCCGTGTCTCCGCTTCTCTGTCCTCATGTGTCTCCGTCCTCACGTGTCTCACATGTGTCTCCATGTCTCTGTCCTCACGTGTCTCCGTGTCTCACCCGTGTCTCAGCCGTGTCTGTGTGTCTCATCCGTGTCTCTGTGTCTCCGTCCTCACGTGTGTCACATGTGTCTCCTCGTCTCTGTCCTCACATGTCTCACCCGTGTCTCTGTCCTCACGTGTCTCCGTGTCTCACCCGTGTCTCACCCGTGTGTCTGTGTGTCTCATCCGTGTCTCCATGTCTCCATCCTCACGTGTCTCACGTGTCTCCGCTTCTCTGTCCTCACGTGTCTCACGCGTGTCTCCATCCTCACGTGTCTCACATGTGTCTCCATGTCTCCGTCCTCACGTGTCTCACATGTGTCTCCATGTCTCTGTCCTCACGTGTCTCCGTGTCTCACCCGTGTCTCACCCGTGTCTGTGTGTCTCACCCGTGTCTCCGTCCTCACGTGTCTCACCCGTGTCTCCGCGTCTCTGTCCTCACGTGTCTCACTCGTGTCTCTGTGTCTCCGTCCTCAGCTAAGCCGATCCGCCCGGGGCAGCAGCCGGTGGCGTCTCCCACTCACCCAAACATGAACCGCTCCACCGGAGGATTCTACCAGAACAGCCAGAGCGTGTCCATCCGAGGAGGCAGCAAACCCGACAAGAAGTGAGAACAACACACACACCTGTACACACACGACACACACACAGACACACACACAGACACACACACTCTGTTCCACCTTGTGATGTCATCAAGTGGTGGTTTTCATGTGAACAACTCCTTTAACTTTTAGTTCAGAAGAGATCAGTAAAGTCTAGAAAACAGGTCTAAAACAGGACTAAACCAAGTACTGGACCAGGACTGGACCAGGACTGGACCAGGACTGGACCAGGACTGAACCAGGACTGAACCAGGACTGAACCAGGTCTAATCCAGGTCTAAACCAGGCCTTAAAACGGACAAACCGGGATTAAACCAGGACTGAACCAGGTCTAAACCACGACCAAAACAGGCCTAGACCAGAATTAGACCAGGACTAAACCGGGACTAAAACCGAGACTAAAACCAAGACTAAAACCAGGACTAAGAACCAGGACACAGTAGAGCACTTCTTTCTGTATCGCCACATGATGACATCACAAGGTGGAACAGAGAGTTTCCTCATTAGTTCTCCAGTCGTTTTTTCATCGTCTCCTGACTCTCCTGACTCTCCTGACTCTTTCGTGTTTCTCTGTTCCAGCTGAAGTTCGTCTGAAGTCGCCACAGAAGCTCGGCCAATCCCGTCGTCCACCGCCAGGGCGAGGCTCCTCCCCCGACCCGCGCGAGGCTCCTCCCCCCCAAAAAAACCCATATAAATATATAAATAAGAATCCTCCGTCTGTACAGCCCCTCCTCACGCTCCTCACGCTCTGACCCCTGACCCCCCCCCCCCGACCCCTCTGACCCCCCCCTTGACCTCTGACCCCTGACCGTGTGTAGCTTCAGTTCTCGCTCGTGTTTCTTCGGCACGTTTTCGCCGTCGCTTTGGGGGTTTTTTGTTTTGTGTTTTTTTTTCGTTTTCGCGCCGTTACTTCTGAATGTACCGGAATCCAAACTCGAGAGCTTCGTCTGCCGGTTTCGACGCCGGCGGCGGGTTTAAAGCTGCACCGTGTAACTTTCCCCGTGAGTGAGGAGGAGGAGGGTCTGCTGCCGCCGGGACTAAACCAGGACTAAACCGGGATTTTTAAAAATGGAGCCAGGTCTAAACTTGGTCTAAATTAGGTTGAAAACTAGGTCTAAACTAGGTCTAAACTAGGTCTAAACACTAGGTCTGAACTAGGCCTGAACTTGGCGTAAAATTGGTCTAAACTTGGCCTAAATCTGACCTAAACCTGGTCTAAACTTGGCCTAAATCTGACCTAAACCTGGTCTAAACCTGGTCTAAACCTGGTCTAAACCTGGTCTAAACTTGGCCTAAACTTGGCCTAAACTTGGCCTAAACTTGGCCTAAACTTGGCCTAAACTTGGCCTAAACCTGGTCTAATCCTGGACTTTTTAAAAACAGATTTGGTCTGTGTTTCTTCGTCGTCCTCAGTTTTTCTCTCATCCTCAACATTCCCTTTCAAAATAAAATCCTCGGAATACTGAGTGGAAATGTTCCAGAGTGCGGCTTTAAACCCGAGCGAACGGGTCGAACCTAGGACAGCGGGACGCGGATTTTCGTTTTTCGCTCTCGTCGCCGCCAAGACTTTGGATCCTCCGACCTTCTCCGCTCTTCTCGGACTTCCTCCCGCGCTTCGGAAAAACGGTTCCCGAAGCGGATTTTCCCGGCGGCGCTCCGGACGGAACCGCGCCGACGAAAAAAGAAGGAATTGTAGATAGAAAAACACTTATTTATTCTTATTCTTATTATCACATGAACGAGGAAAACGAGGAGGAAGAGGAGGAGGCTGCGTCCCATTTCTCTTTCCTCGATTCCTTCTCCTTGATCCCAAAGCTCCGAGGAGACTGGGGAAGGAAACGACAAAGGAGGAAACAGAAGGAAGCAACAGAGGAGGAGGAGGAGAGGGAAGGAAGCGACAGAGGAGGAAGTGAGAGATGGAAGGAAACGACAAAGGAGGAGGAGAGGAAAGGAAGCGACAGAGGAGGAGGAGGCGAGGGAAGGAGGTTTAACTGTGTAAAATAATCCAGAATTTGGCTTTAAAACTAAGGAACTAGGAAAGGTTGCCACATTCACCCTCCTCCCTCCGCGCTTCTCCTCCTCTCTTCTCTCCTTTCCTTTTCTCTCTTCTCTCCTTTCCTCGCCTCCTTTCTCCTCTCTCCTTTCCTCTCCTCTCCTCCTTTCTTCTTTCCTTCTTTCCTCGCCTCTTCTCTCCTCGCCTCCTTTCTTTTCTCCTCTTTCCTCCTCCTCTCTACTCTCCTTTCCTTTTCTCTCCTCTCTTCTCTCCTTTCCTCTTCTCTCCTCGCATCGTCTCTCCTCTTCTCCCTTCTTCTCTCCTCCTTTCTTCTTTCCTCCCCTCCCCTCCTCCTCTCTCCATTCCTCCTTTCTCTTATCCTCTTCTCCTTGCCTCCTTTCTTCCTCTCCTCCCTTTGTCTCCTCTTTCGCCGGAACTTCCTCGCTCATTTCCTCCAGAATCAATCCGAAGGAAACGAGAAATGTCTCCTCGCCTCCTCGTCTCCTCGTCTCCTCGTCTCCTCCCTCTCACCGTGAGGTTGCGGGTTAGACTCCTCGTTAAAAACACCTAAAAACAAACAAACGTCAAAAAAACCAAAACAAAACAAAAAAAAAAAAAAAACATTGTCCGTTTTTTCCTTCCTCACATTTCCCGTCGTTTTCCTCCCACTCTTTTTTTTCCCGTCGTTTCGCGATTATTTTCAGGATCTCTGAGTTCGTTTTTTTTTTTTTACGGAAAACGTAAAAAAAAAAAAAAAAAAAAAAAAAGGCTCGGTGATTGGTCGGGGGGAGCCGCTGATCGACCAATCAGACGCGCCGACACTGGCCTCACCGTCTCTGAGGATGAAGGGTATTTAAATAGGCGTAGGACCTTGTGTCGTTCGATTTTTAGCGTGTTTTTTTTTTTTTTCGTTTTTCTCGTTTTTTTTCACACGATTTTGAGTTTTCCGTTTGTCGTTGTTTTGTTTTTGTTGTTTTTTTCGGCGGTTTCGTGTCGTGCCCCTTTTCGTCTTTCACGTCGTAAAGCCCAGAATGAAAACGAAACAACACTAGTGCAATATACTGTAACGTACACTGTAGTCTCACGCCGACCGTTTTACCGCCGCCACCACGGAAACGACGACCGGCGCGGAAACAACGCCGTTTATTTAAAACGTCGAGTGTCGTTCGAAAAATAAGAAACGAAAAAGAAAAAAAAAAAAACGACGATTTTCTTCATTTTCTCCAAAACTGAAATGAAAAAACTGATGATGGACTAAACCGGGACTAAACCAGGTCTGGACCAGGACTAGACCAAGATTAGACCAGGACTAATCCGGGACTAGACCAGGTCTAAACCAGGACTAAACCAGGACTAAACCAGGACTAAACCAGGACTAATCCGGGACTAGACCGGGACTAGACCAAGATTAGACCAGGACTAGACTAAGAATAGACTGGGACTGAGACCGGGACTGGAACCAGGACTAGACCAGGACTAAGCCAGGACTAAACCAAGACTAGACCAGGACTGGAACCAGGACTAGACCAAGACTAAACTGGGACTGGAACCAGGACTGGACTTGAGTCTGGGACTTGAGACCAGGACTGAGAATGGGACCTGGTTCAATCCCGGTTCAGTTCTGAGATCTCGGTCTCGGTCTGGTCCCAGGCTCAGTCCTGGTCTGATCCCGGTCTTGGTCTCGATCCTGGTCCTGATCTCTGTCTCAGTCCTGGTCTTGGTCTCAGTCCTGGTCTGGTCCCAGTCTCAGTCCTGGTCTGGTCTTGGTCTGGTCTCAGTCTCAGTCTTGATCTGGTCCCGGTCTCAGTCCTGGTCTGGTCTTGGTCTGGTCTTGGTCTCAGTCCCGGTCCGGTCTCAGTCCCGGTCTCAGTCCCGGTCTCAGTCCCGGTCTGATCTTGATCTGGTCCCGGTCTCAGTCTCAGTCTTATTCTGGTCTAGTCCTGGTCTCAGTCCTGGTCTCAGTCCTGGTCTAGTCCTGGTTTAGTTTTGGAGACAAATGAAGAAAATCGTCGTTTTCTTTTCTTTTTTTTTCTTTCTTATTTTCATTTTTATTTTGAAAAACGACTGAACGAACGACACAGATTCAAACTCCCTAAAGATTCAAAAGTCAAAAACATCGTAGAAAAAAACGTAGTGAAAAAAGAAAAAGTCGTCGTTGAGTTTGTGGTTTTGTGGTTTTTTGGTTTTTCGGTCGGTTTGTGGACGAGGTTTTTTTTTTCACTCTGTACAGTCGAATGTAAGAAACAAACGAGCACCAACGAAAACTCTGAGACCACAGAAGGTTCCAGAAGGTCTCAAGGGTCGTTTTTTTTAAACCGAGGGCCTGGCCGCACCGACACGCCACAGTCCCGGGTCTGGACCGGGTCTGGACCAGTTTTAAACCAATTTTAAACCAGTTTTAAACCAGATCTGGACCAGTTTTGATCCAGGTCTTGGCTAGATCTGGAGCAGGTCTGAGCCAGGTCTGAACCAAGTCTGGGCCAGGTCCAAACCAGGTCTAAGACAGAACTAAGATGGATCTAAACCAGTTTTGAGCCGGGGCTGAGCCAGATCTAAACCCGGTCTGGACCCGGTCTGGACCCGGTCTAAACCAGGACTTTTAAAAATTGAGTTGGTCTTTATTTCTCAGTCCTGCTCCTCAGATTTTCTCAAGAATGAATAAATTTAAACCAGTTTGAGCCAGATCTAAACCGGATCTGGACAGAGACTAAACTAAAACGGGACTAATCCGGGTCTAAACCAGGTCTAAACCAGGTCTGGACCAGGTCTAAACCGGGACTTTTAAAAAATGGAATCGTTTTTTGTTTTTGTTTTTTTAATTTCTGAGTCGTGCTTGTCAGATTTTCTCTCCGCGTCTCGTCACGAAAAAATTCACTTTTAAAATAATAAAGTTTCAAGATTCGCGTCGCCAGATTGAAGGTTCGCGTCGCCAGATCGAAGGTTCGCGTCGCCAGATCGAAGGTTCGCGTCGCCAGATCCAGGGTTCGCGTCGCCAGATCCAGGGTTCGCGTCGCCAGATCGAAGGTTCGCGTCGCCAGATCCAGGGTTCGCGTCGCCAGATCCAGGGTTCACGTTGCCAGGCACTCGGACAAACCTGTAGATTAGCCCCACACTTTGAACGTTTGAGCCGTTTAATGCACTTGCACCACACGGAAACACTCCCGGCTGCTGCGAACGCTAAATATTTGAGATGTAATTATTATTATTATTATTATTATTATTTTTCTTTTGTTTTCTGGACCTCAAAGTTTCACCAAAACTGGACGCTCGGCAGTCTGTATCGTGTAGTGTGGCCTGAATCTCGATAAAACTCTAACTTAAACTAAATAGTAGCCATGTTTTTATTACTGTGTAATAGTCGGTGCGTGTGACGGTTTGGGAGAGAATCATTCCTACGGGGCACAGGGACAGAAGAAGAAGCATGTTGTAAATGTACCTGTGATAAATAAATAATTATGACAAACGTTTCTCAAAAGACTCCGGTTCTTCTTTTCTGCACAAACGGCTCTTGGGTTTAGAGACGTTTGTTTGTTTGTTTTAAAGTGAATGAACTTCTGCTGCTGTCGTTTATTATTTTACATTTAATCATCAAATGTAAAGACAGAAAATCTTAACATGAGCTGAGTTTTTATGATCTGTTCAACTCTGGGACAATTTTAAGGGAAATTTGTAAATTTGAAGGAAATTGAACAAAGTTAAAACGATAAATGTTCCATGAAATTTCACTTGGACGTGAGGTTTTTTTTCAGCATTTTAGACACACGTGAATTTTATCACAATCGGACAAATTTTGGCGACGTGAGAAGTTTTTGTTTGTGAAATTTGTATAACCATCAACTTTCGTTATAAACTCATTATTTTGACCCCTTTTCTAAAAATCAAGGTGAAAATCAGGAAATCTTGAGGTTCAGGGAGATGTTTTTATGATCTGTTAAACCTGGGACCAATTTTAAGGGAAATTTGTGAATTTGAAGGAACATTTATCGTTTTAACTTTGTTCGAGTTCCATGAAAATTCACTTGAACGTGAGTTTTTTTCAACATTTTAGACACGTCAAACCAATTTTGGCGACCGAAAATCATGGTGAAAATAATTTTTAATGCAAGTTTTAATTTTTCTGGAGCAAACTCGATGAATTTTTGTAAAAAATGTTTTTCCAAAATTGACCGAGTTTTAGCCCCCAACATTTATTTCTCATAATTTGGCTCTGGTTGTTCAATTTCCATGAAAATTCACTTGGACGTGAGTTTTTTCAGCTTTTTAGACACGTGTGAATTTTAACACAATTGGACAAATTTTGGTGACGTGAGAAGTTTTTGTTTGTGAAATTTGTATAACCATCGACTTCCGTTACAAACTCATTTATTGACTCCTACTCTAAAAAAATCAAGGTGAAAATAATTTTTAATGCAAGTTTTAATTTTTCTGGAGCAAACCAAATGAATTTTTGTAAAAATTATGCTTCATAGAAACCAGGGCAGTTTTTTTTCACCTAAAATGGTTTGAGCAGTGAGTAAATATTTCAAAAGATATTTAAAATATTGTTTCTGTGGAGATTTGAATCAGAGGTTTGTGTAGAAATTTGTGAATCTGAAGAAACATTTATTTCTCATAATTTTGCAGTGATTGTTCAATTTCTATGAAAATTCACTTGGACGTGAGTTTTTTCAGCATTTTAGAGACACGTGAACTTCATCACAATTTGACAAATTTTAGACACTCAATGTGTTTTGGAAATTTATATAACCATCAACTTCCATTAGAAACTCATTATTTGACTCCTCTAAAAAAATCAAGGTAAAAAATTGTTTTAATGCAAATTTAAATTTTTCTGGAGCAAACCAAATTAATTTTAGTAAAAATTATGCTTCATAGAAACCAGGGGAGTTTTTTTCACCTAAAATGGTTTGAGTAGTGAATAAATACTTCAGAAAATATTGAAAATATTATTTCTGTGGAGATTTGAATCAGAGGTCTGTATAGAAATTTGTGAATCTGAAGCAACATTTATAATTTTAACTTTTGCTGTGATTGTTCAATTGACATAAAAATTCACACAGATGTGAGTTTTTACAGGTTTTTAGACATGTGAATTTCATCCTGATCTGATCAATTTTGGCGACGTGAGAAGTTTTTTAGACTCTCGTCGTGTTCAGGAAATTTGTTTCCATTCTAAACTTTCGTTATAAACTTCCATTATAACCCTCCTCCCTCAAAAT